AGGAAAAGCCAAGTTGATCCATGGGGGTTCTCATTTCAATCTCTTCCGTTAATGGGCCCGGGTATTCGGAGTGTTTCTGCGTCAGCTACAAATGCAGATTGCTTTGGAAATCAATTTATAGATTACGGATACGCGAAAACATTGTACAGGGGACCAGTCCCAAAGGCTTCCGGTGAACAAGACGCTTGTGGCTGCAAATCGCGGAATAACGTTGGATTCAACGTACTCAGCTGCCGCGATGTCACAAGCGTTGTGTAGCTTGATGTCTTCTACTTTCTCTGATCGCAAGGACTACAGCGCCTCTGCTTGGAGATTATGTGTTGTGAGTTGTGAACTTTTGCTGAACCCTCGTTACATTCCCCCCGAGGCTACAGATCCGCTGACCTGGTTACAGACAGTTGACAGGCATAATTTATCCCTGACATGTCCAAATGCCTTCTGTCGCCATATATCCCATTATTGCTATATCAAGCGTTTTACTATATTGTATCATATGGCAATTATATATGTATGTTACTGACCTTTTTCGTGGTTTTGATTCTTTTTTTGAAGCCTGGAAAATAAAAAAAAGTTGTCGTACAATATTTGCTGAACATTTTGCACACGTTGTATGATATTTTGTGAGTGTATAACAGATGCGTTTTATTTATAGACTGTTACTGTTAGTCTAAAAACGGACGTATATTGCTAGAAATGTGCTGACACTGAGAACTTTCAAAAACATAAGTTTATTAGCAGATTTCCACAGACCAACATTCAATTAATCAATATTGGAATTTGTAGTGCGCTGCAAAGTTTATATTTGATTTGTCTCGTAAATAAGCAAGTTATCCAGTGACCAGGGCAGTAGATCATCCATAGTCCGTGTCATCAAAAAATGAAAAGCGTATTGACAGAGCTGTTTTCATGGTTGACTGGGGCTGGGTTGACTCAGCTCCGGTCGCGCTAACCTGTTTCAGCGTGTTGAAGGACACTTGAATGGAGAACCTACATTTGTTCACGTGTATCACGGGTTTACCTCGATAAAAGCAAGCCCAGAGCTGGTGTTCCTGTAAACAAGGCTATTTGTCACACCAGGGAGGTTTACTCGCAAGAAGGAGTCACACAATTATGTGGATATCTGTTGGTATTGCAAGTATTTGCCTCGAGTTAGGTACAAACAGATAGACATAAGATAGCATTGTTTACAAAAAGTAGAAAAACTACTCTACTCTATGTGGTACGTAATGCGCTCTACTCACTGGTATTGACTACTGTTCTGTCAGGTGGGCGTGTATTTGTTGCCCTCACACGGTGTGTCAACAGCCGAGCTTGAGCCTGTTGCGTCGAGCTTTGGACATGTTGGAAAGGCGTTTTCCTCGGGCTAGGCTGGTACAACATTTACTGTCGTTACAACTTAGGTTCAGTTTTCAGTTAATGTTGTGTGCGTTATGTTATTTTTTTTTATTAAGACTCACACCTTTTGTTATGTTGGTTTTACTTTCATGTACATTTGTTTTGTTCTGTTCTGTACATTTGTTTCATTGTAATTTTGCGACTCCAGGAAGAATAGATTTCATGTAAATCTAATGGAGATCGAATAAACAAACAAACAAACCGTACAACGCTCGAAAGTGGAAGTTTAACCCCCAACGACACATGCATACAACCACAGACGCTGACATCAGTGTCATAACAATTATTAACCTTGTTATACCTATCAAGGTATAACAATTATGTATCTCTGGCCCGCTTCTTTTTCAACTCCTCACTGCAGCAGGATCTCGATCGGACGTTTTTGAACCGAGGGCTCAAATATCTCAATGAACAAATGATTGTATTCACTTATTCATTTACTGTTTTCAGACGACGGCTACAGAGGACGAGTCCGCCGACGTCGCCGCGTCACGCCATGAGCAGAGTGACGTCACCATGCGGTGCAGCGCGCGTCGTCTGGTGCTGTCCCTCACCTGCCTCGTACCCATCGTACTCATCTCTCTTCTCGTTCCCGGAGCTGTCTACCTCAGACACTTTGGTCTCGATCAAGCAAGAAAGCTGACATTAAAACCAGGGTAAGTTCGATATATTTTCGACATATTCATTATTAAAATGGCACAGAGATGTAGCAACATGTATTTAGAATAGCGGGGAATTTTACAACAAAACAACTGGTGAATACTTCTTGCTTGTATTTTCTACAGGCACCCATCTCTGAAGAGACACTTGAGCTCAAATGATGGAGTCAGCAACACCGAGGGATCAGACGGAAAACTGCTGTACCGAGGGCAGTCCGAGGTTTTACCCGTCCCCGGGCTGGATCCGACTTACTCCGAAAAAACAAAGGACATCGCGGAAAAACAGAGATTCAGAAAACAGTGGAAGAAGAAAGAGAAAGAGGAATACTATCAGCAGAGACGAGAGAGAGTGCAGAAGATCTTGGAAACAACTGTGGAGTCAATACCAGGGGAGGACGTGTACGGAAAGGACACTTCTAATTTACCCATGGTGGGTCAGGTTTTACCGAGTGGCGTCGGTGGCGCAACGGTTCAGAGCGTTGGACTCGGAACCAGTACTTAGGTCCCGGATTCGATACTCACCATGGCCCGCCGTTGTGCCCTTGGGAAATGCACTTCCACACTACCGGTCCACCGATCGAGCCTTAGGCTATTAAATCTGTCTAAATGTGTGCCAAAAACATACTACGGATTTGGTGCACTAACATTCATGGCACATTTGCCATCAAATTTCTAACCCTGAATTTTCATTTGTCATTTTACACACAGAAGTGCATGACGTCACACCGTCTCCATGGCGACCCGAACATGGAGTGGTTCACCAGCAAGTTCGTGAACGACATCCCAGTCCTGATGACGTCACGTGACCTGACAGAGGAGGAGTATAACAGACTGAAGCGTTTTCCACTACCGTATGGCTTCGACGACATTCCCTTATCTGGTAAGTAGTTATCTTTGAAGTTGCATAATGATTTTACTTTTGTATATTTGCCCAACGTTTGTATTGACTATCTACAGTTAAATGAAGTTACATTTTCAAAATTGGACGTTTTACAAAGATGGGTTCTGAACATTTCCACAGATTTGGAAAAAGAGTTGACTTCTCTACCATTATCGGAAGGCGGCGCTGTTTTCGGTGCTCGGTCTGGCTGCAAACGATGCGCAGTCGTCGGAAATGGCGGGAGTCTGAAGGGCTCCGGTGCAGGCAGTGATATAGATGGACACGACTTCGTCTTCAGGTAAAATACGCATTTCCGGATGCTCCCCAAGTAATGTTTATACATGTGTATTTGTATCATTTTTTTTATCTCCAGATTACGAATAATTTTCTGTGAAAAAACGATTGACCGTTTTTTTTGTCCGCGCAGGGTGAACCGCGCTCTTACGTCAGGGTACGAGTCAGACGTCGGCATCAGGACGTCCTTTTATATCTTCACGGTCAACACGCTGTTAGCAACTCTCCAGCCGAGTTTAAAAAAGGAGCCACAGTTCCATGTGCCAAGGGACCAGGTGAGTCAAATCAAGGGGACAATTGTTCATCTCTCAAGTAAATTGTGACTGACTGAATTACATACTAGCATTAAAACCACAATCTTGTTCGTTATCTGCAGGAGATTAAGTATATCCTAACGATGTGCAACAGGAGAGACTACAAGTTAGTGGACACACTGGCCTGGGGAGCGCCGGTGGACGTCAGCGGCATAGACCGGCTGTAAGTATTACGGGGACATTATACATTATATAGAGGATGTCCTTGCATATATACTTAAAGGGAAACATACCAGCATGCTGGCATATTTTAGTGCAACAGGTCGTCTGATTTGGTGGGTAAAATTATCACACATCTAAGTTACCTCCAACACGACGAAAACCAAATCAGGGAATTTCGGCTGTCTTTACAATCTTCACCAGTAAGAATGACCCATCACGTCGGATATGTGAAATCCTCATACAAATTACAATTAAGGGTAATTGTGGGATCTGTTAAAACGCATGACAGATCATGGCCTGCTGCCTCGGTCACCAGCACTACTGCCAGTATAATTTCAACGTGTGCCGAATGTTGTCCACAGAATTGGAAAGATCAATATAAAATCTCAATTACAAGCTAAACATCAAAGCTAACCTGGCCCGTGTCTTTTTTCTTAGAGCTGTAGAAATGCTGTCCAGACTCCACCTTGGAAGTGACAACATCAGATTGGTACATCCTGACCTTCTGAGATACATCAACAACAGGTACGAGTCTACAAAGGAAGTCAACTTTTTATGGTGTATCTTCCAATATTCCATTTGCGCGATGCTAACCTTTAAAATACATCTTCTAAAGCTGATTGCATGCAAGTCTCACTGAAGCACAGCACTTCGCTGAGTAGTAATGGAATCATAACCAAACTGTTCTATATGTTTAACGCTCAGTCTCAATGTTGACTTTGTCGCTTTGTCGTGAAAAGCATTCAATATGCTTCCAAGGTTTTTCAATGCTTCGTGCGTCGTTTTATGATGTTAACGATTGCCTCATTGTCTTCTCCAGTTGGCTGAAGTCCAAGAAGAGAAGATACTCGGTGTACCGCCCCAGTACCGGGGCCATCGCTGTCTTCACCGCCCTGCAGACCTGCGACCAAGTCAGTCTGTACGGCTTCGGCACGACAGACGGCCAGTCCGTCCACTACTACGACAACGCGTCTTACGACATGACCACAGTGGTGAACCACGACTTCGACATGGAGTGGAGACTGTGGAGGAAGCTCCACCAACTGGGCGTGGTCAGACTGTTGCCATAGGAACACAAAATGGCTGTTACGTGTCCCTCAGTGCTGCAAAAGAATGTAAATGGGTCACACAGGGGGCATTGACTGTGCCAGTAGGGAGAAATGACCTACTAGGACGTGTCACGACTGTTGATTATTTCAACAACAGGCCTGTTCCTGGACTATAAATGCCCTAACAGGTGGATGCTGGGATATGAAGAGAATGCAGCTCTGGGTTAGAGACTGCATGTACAATCTCGTGCACAACGTCATGCGACGCAGGCCAATGTGCTACGATACACTCAGCAGTGCCTAAGAGCATTTGATACACAATGGTGCAATAAACCTGCATTTGGCAAGGGCTGTTTGAAAAACAAAATACTACGAATTCGAAGAAAGGGACCGTTAAAAAAGGACAGACTAGCTACGGGGTCCAAAGTTGTTAAGTACCTCTCCTACAGTGAGGAAGACTAGTAACGGTACTGTGCAACGTATCCGCGAATGAAAAATAAAAATACATATATTTTTACACATTAAAGTGATGGTCGTAATATGTGTTCTGGCGTTATTAATTATTGTGCTTGTAACGTTAAACATTATCTGAGAAGACTTGCACATAACCTCGCTGTGGTGTAATGGACCACCCGTTCTGATCTGATCCTAGCTTGGGTTCCAGACCAGTACACTGGGCATGTGTGCACTGGATAACTTGTGCTGTGGGTCTGGCATCCAGGCTACCCTGATCATTATTTGCACATTTTTACTGCAGCTGACCAATCGTGGAAGCCTTAGGTTAAGTTCAGCCACGTCACGTAAACCAGCTAGATACATGTATATGCGTGACTTGCGTGTTTTGTTTGCATTGCTGACTGACCTACCCATTTCTACAATGGAACGACCTACCGTACGTTCATGGATATCAGTAAGGTCACGCCATTCAAACAAACTTGCCAGAGAGGTTACAGGGCACCAGGCCTGCGTATAGCGTTCACTCGACGAGCAGCAACAACGTTACAGACTCACTTCAATATGGCGAAACTTATCACCGTTTTCGGAGCAACAGGTGAGTTTAACATGCGATCCGGAGAAAATGATTGTACATGGTTGTAGGATCGTGACAGCTGTGAAAGACACGGAGAATGAACCGACCCCCGTTCACCTCGTGCTGTCAAAACGTTTTGCTACGCGGAAGCTTGGAGTGCAACTCTGTATACGTTTTAGAATGGCGTCTGGAAATTCACAAGCCGTTCAGTCAGACTTTAAGACCATTTAAGGTCAAGTATTATATGTCAAGAAAGGTATACATGTCCATTGCTCAGCTGTAACCAGAGGCTGCCTGAACTGCTAACAATGCTAGAGATCAGGGGTGGGTTTTCGTCTTTACCTCCGGGTAGGGATGTATATCCCGAGCGCGGAGGTTTTGTGAGGGAAGACGAAAATTGCGTTCGCACCCGTTTCTCGCGTTTGGGTGGACGGATATGTCTGGGACTTGGTATACGTTTTGCTGTTGGGCTGTAGATGGTGCACGTTGTTTTGGTTTTTTAGTATGTGTGTTTTAGTGCGTGAAAATGATGCGTTTAGACCGCCGATGGACACCCCTTTCAGTGTAAGTGGGCCTCAGCTTTTGACCTTTGCATGTATAATCACCATTGAGGTCGCGACCACTGATCTGACCTTTCACACAGAGGGGTGTCAGCATTCTTTGAAACTGTTCAGATGTGAACCACATGTGCCGTCAATCAACGTCTCGTGCCTGGTGGGATCGCGTGGGTCGCAGCCAGCGAACTTCCGGGTGGGCCAATGGGTCAGGGGTCAACGCCCTCTTGCGCAATTTCGGATGTTTTCGGCTTACAAATACCGTGGTATACTGTCTCAGACGTTCTCGGGACTCGGTGTATCTTCTGTTAATGGGCTGTAGATGGTGCAGGTTTTTTTTGTTTTATTGTATATGTGTTTTGGGGCGTAAGATTATTTGTATTTCCTTTTCGTGTCTCGGACACCCGTTACTGTGTTTGTTTACATTATCGCTGGTCGCTGAGGGTCGGGCAGCCAGATTCGCCACGGGATGCCTCCTGTCCTTTCTATTTTTGGGCTCCAGTCGGCTAGGGGGGATTAGTGATTTCACACATCATTTAGCCAATTACAAACATTTCGAAACTTTTCGAAAAAAATGGTATTCGCGCGAATTCACTAGTTAATTCAAAGAACAGTCCCAACATGCACCCAACATTCTGCAACATACATTACAATACCCGGAGGTACAAAATCTACGATTTTCCTTGTTTAGTTATAGAATGACTTGCGTTCGCCCTGTTTAAGTTTGTTTGCAATGACTTATCATCATAGTAGAGACATATACTAGTGATAGAATAGCAACAAAGTGAGAAACGTAGATGAAAAATATTTCTTTGCTTTATGTTCGGTCTGTATGAGATCTGAGCTTGCGACAACACTCCACCATCGATCCACGGCTAATTGGCAATCTCACAACCAGGCAGTCCCATAAAGTAATTGTGACCGTTTAGACGGTGGTATTCCATTATTTGATTATCCCCGGCGAAAAACCGTCACTATTAGACAGATCTGGTCTTCTCTAAGTGTACATCTGACTCAGATGTATGACTCAGATGTACATTTAGAGAGGACCAGATCTGTCTAATCCATGAACTCGGCTTCACGTGATGACATACGCAGCAGACGAGGTGTGTTTTATAAAACCAGAGGTCTGCTAGGGGATAACAGTAGTACTGTCGCCTAAAACAAGCTGTATACCTGATGACTTGCAGCTGCTTGGCAGATAGCATGGGCCTCTCAGATGTACAAAATTTCTACTAATAGTAATATGTAAACTTGGCATTTGTGTATGTTCTCATATTTATGAATGAGCATCATAAAGTTGTGCAGTTCGAAATAAAGTGAGTGTGGCCACCAATGGTAGGCTAAAATTACAGAATACCCTGTAGACAATGGTGAAATCAATGGTTAGTCCCTTGGCACGGTGAACCGGGAAAGGTTCATACAGAGGACACGTCATAAGGAAGTACCCAGAAAGTACGGGAGATCTCTAGACATGCGATATTTGGTTTAAAAGCCAGGTGTACAGTGTCTAGATGTTTGGCCAGTTTTCTACCTTTTTTACGGTCTTGTACTGTAGATTTAAGGTGTTGCCATTTAATAGACATTCCTCTGGTGTGGACGTCGTCTTGAATTTCAAAACAACTTAAAAGCCTGTCCATGACCTTTGACATACCTATCATACGTACAGGTAACTGATATGAAAATAATCTCCTCGCCGATCATGCCATTCGTCGCATTTCATTTTTATTGAATCTGACAGTATGGGTATTCATCATTCAGCAGTAGCACATCATATTTGTTATGCACATGCTTATGCTGAGTGTCGCCTAAATGCATTCTAAACATCCGCATAGCATGTCCAAGAGTGGAATTGTTCGCATAGTCTGTCGTCATGGCAGTGGCTGTCAGGTATTCAGCTAAGGTCAAGAGCTTAAAAATTAAAAGAAAACATTCCTTCATGACTTTGTCAGTTTATATGAGGACTACAATGTGTACAAGATTATTTTAAAAGGTGTTCAAGTATTCCAACATATTCCTCTGATCAGGATCACAGGGAGGGTCTGTCGCCAACGCCCTGCTGGAAGACCAGGACTTCAAAGTCCGAGCTGTGACGAGAAACGCCTCTAGCGACAAAGCGAAGGCATTGCAGGAGAAAGGTGCCGAGGTCGTTGTGGCGAGTCTGGACGATCCGAGCACGCTGGAACCTGCCCTGCAAGTAAGAATCGTCTTGGGTGACTTTTTCTGTCTCTCAAAGCGAGATCATTATTTCTTGGCGGTCAAACTAATCTCTTGTATGGAAGCTTATATGGAACGGTTGCACCTTGTTTTAAAATAAACGTTGTACAATATTATATACGATATAATAATCGAAAATCGTACTTTCCAGTTGCCATCACCCCTTTGTTTTACAGGGTGCTCACGGAGTCTTTGTGGTGACCAACTATTTTGAACATTTGGACCAGGAAAGGGAAGTCAAGCAAGTAAGAACTGCCTTTCACCACTGTTCTTCCCTGTGTCCTAGCCTGAGTGCCAGCCTTGTTAGCTTTCGTCTGCTCCCCAAGACGGAGAGCGGATGAAAGGTATTAAACAAGGTTGACACTCAGGCTACCTGTGTCCTGCAATATGCAAGTTACTATAGGCACCAAAAGACTACTATTTCTGGAGAAATGGCGCAGTAAATGCACGTGATGCAAAGTTTTTCCGTCTGGGGGAGTGCGTCTAGGGGTTCGCCTCTAGTTTCTTTTCTCCTGGGTGCACCGGTGAGTCATGATTAACTCTATTTCTATATATTCACATCCAACAAAGGGCAAGGCCGTAGCGGACGCGGCCCGAGCTGCCGGGGTGCTGCATGTGGTGTTCAGCGGCCTGGAGAATGTTCAGAAGATCGCGGGGTTTCCCTGTCCGCACTTCGACGCCAAGGGGCAGATAGAGGAGTACATGACGTCACTCGAACTGCCCGTGACCGTTGTCAGATACCCCTTCTACTACGAAAACTACCTGAATGTCTTGAAGCCACAGAAACAGGAGGATGGGACGTACGTTTTGGGTAAGTAGGCACTTGTAGCTTGGCTGGTTGCATCTATATGTTTATTGGTTTAGAAGATAGGACTGACACTGACAAGCAGAAAATAAGCAAAGAAGGCAATTAAGCAAAAAAATCGTTGGTCCACTATCCAGGGAGACTAGCGAATGTCAAAAATATCTGTGCCAACGAAAGGCTAGGGATGGGCTGGTAAAATGGGTTTGCAATTTTGTTCGTAAAGTCACTCCAAAGTTATTGCCGGCAAAATTGTTCTATCATTCATTCTGTATATTCGGTATATTTACTTATTCTGTCTTTAATCAATATTAATATTATATTTTGTGTGATTGTCTAGGCGTCCCAATGGAAGGCGCTGCGATGGACAGCGTCAGTGTAGCTGACATGGGTCCGGCTGTCAGGGAGATCTTCAAGAACTGGGCCGAGTGGGTCCGCCGGACTGTCGGTTTCACCGCAGACAAACTCACCATTCAGCAATACGCAGACATCCTCTCCAAGCACCTGGCACCGAAGGTGTTCAAGGCTACCGACGTGAGTCTGTGGCAGAACTACATCACAATTTAAATGTTAACGTTATAGGTACCATCCAATGGGAGCTGTTATGTCCAAAAGAACAAGATTCCGGCTCCGTCCCTGAAGTGTCGCTAAAAACGGCGATGTTGAATGATCACGAGCTAAATATGTAAGGGGGCGAGATCCCTGGATGGGGGGAGGGGGGGCGACACCGGTCGTCCATCCGCTATCTAGGTAACTTTCCATCTCGTACGTCGTTTTAGCACTAAACAACGTTAACTAATAATTTTCAGTCTCCATCCCATCTACTTTCTCCTAGATGACAGCTGATGCGTTTGGCCAGCTGGGTTTCCCTGGAGCGGACGATCTGGGAAACATGTTCAAGTTCATCCGACTTTACAGCCCTGACCGGAGCTTGGACCTGACCCGCCAGCTGCACCCCGCCGCCAAGACCTTCGACACGTGGGTGGGAGAGAACAAGGACGTGCTACAGAACGCCCTGGACTAGCGAGTGTCTGTAGCTGCAGATTCTGAGAAAATTTAGATGACTCGTCATGTGAAGACGGGATGAATAAAAATGCATTATTTTTACACATTAAAGTGATGACCGTAATATGTGTTCTGGCGATATTAATTATTATGCTTGTAGTGTAAACATTTTCTGTGAAGACTTCCACATGGTCCAACCAGTCATTAGAAGCTCCTTGGTCCAACCCGCCATGATCTCCGCATGACTTGCACATCTTTAATACAGCTGACCAATCGTGGTAGCCTTAGGATATAAGTCAGTTATGTCACGTAAACCAGCCAGATATATTCGTGACTTGCGTATTTTGTTTGCATTGCTGACTTACCTACCCATTTGTACAATGGAACGACCTACCGTACTCTTTTGGATATCAGTAAGGCCATGTTGATTTGATTATATGGATGACATTCGCGCGCGCATGAATTTTCGGCCGTTTCAAAAAAAAAGTTTTCAACCATACTGTAAATCGTACAAAACAGTTGCAAAATGAGCAAAAATATACCGTAAGTTACAAAAAAACCATACCAATGTCGTAGAATGCCAAAATCAAACGAAAAAAGACGAAATTGTAAAGAAATGAACTTGAAAACTAGATTATTCGCCAAACCATATTCTGTCCCATTTGTTCAACCCTCATGACCACGTAGATTTCATAATGAAAACAACTTTTTTTTTTTGCAAAACTCTTTTTTTATTCGCACGCGCGCATCAATTTTGGGGTTCCCGGAAGATGTCATCCATATAATCAAATCAACATGGCCTAAGGTCACCTCATTCAAACAAACTTGGCAGAGAGGCAGCAACAACGTTACAGACTCGCTTCAATATGGCGAAACTTATCACCGTTTTCGGAGCAACAGGTGAGTTTGACCTGAAATTCGGAGGAAATGTATGCAAACAGCACATGGTTGTAGGATCGTGAAAGCTGTGAAAGACATGAAGAATGAACCGACCCCTGGTCACCTCGTGCTGTCAAAACGTTTTGCTACGCGGAAGCTTGGACTTTGGAGTCAGTGCAACTCTGTAACGTTTTAGAATGACGTCTGGATATTCACAAGCCGTTCAGTCAGACTTTAAGACAGAAAATGAGTCCATTTAAGGTCAAGTATTCTATGTCAAGAAAGGTATACATGTCCACTGCTCAGTAACCAGAGGCTACCTGAACTGCGAACAATTCTAGAGATCGGGTGGGTTTTCGTCTTTTAGTCATAGAATGACTTGCGTTCGCCCTGCTTTAAGTTTGTTTGCAATGACTTATCATCATAGTAGAGGCATATACTAGTGATAGAATAGCAACAAAGTCGGAAACGTAGATATAACAATGTCTATGTGCTTCATGTTTGGTCTGTATGAGATCTGGGCTTGGGACAACACTGCTCCATCGATCCACGTACGGCTAATTAGCAATCTCACAACCAGGCAGTCCCACAAAGTAATTGTGACCTTGTAGACGGTGGTATTCCATTGTTTGATTATCCCCGTCTGAAAACCGTCAGATGTACACTTAGAGAGGACCAGATCTGTCTAACGCCGAGCTCGGCTTCACGTGATGACGTACCCAGCAGACGAGGTGTGTTTTGTAAAACCAGAGGTCTGCCAGGGGATACCAGTAGTACTGTCGCCTAAAAACAAACTGTACAGTTGGTGATTTGCAGCTGCTTGGCAGATAGCACAGGCCTCTCAGATAATTGTGTACAAAATTCTTGTAATATGTAAATTTGGCATTTGTGTATGTTCTCATATTTATGAATGAGCATCATAAAGTTGTGAAGTTCGAATTAAAGTGAGTGTGACCACAGATTGGTAGGCTAAAATTGCAGTGCCCTGGAGTACTAGTATTACCCTGTAGACAATATTTTTTTTAGTGAAATCAATGGTTAGTCCCTTGGCACGGTGAACCGGAAAAGGGGTTCATACAGAAGACACATGTCACAAGGAATTACCCAGAAGGTAGGGGAGATCTCTTGACGTGCGATATTTGGTTTTAAAGGCCAGTTGCACAGTGGCTAGATGTTTGGCCGGTTTTCTACTTTTTTTTTAGGTTTTGTAAAATCATTTAGTAATGTACTGTAGATTTCAGGCGTTGCCCTTTGACATTCCTCAGGTGTGTTTGATGTGTTGGCGTGGACGTGTCTTGAATTTCAAAACAACCTGGCCATGACCTTTGACGTACCTATCGTAATAGGTACTTGAGATAAAAATAATCTCGCTGCTCATGCCGTTCGTCGACGACGCATTTCATTTTCATAGAGTCTGACAGTATGGCAGTATGGGGATGCATTATTCAGCAGTAGCAAATATTATTTTTGTATGCATGTTTATGCTGAGTGTCGACTTCACGCATTCTAAACATCCGCATAGCCTATCCAAGAGTGGAATTGTTCGCATTGTTTGTCGCCATGGCAGTGGCTATCAGGTATTCAGCTAAGGTCAAGAGTGAAGCTTAAAAAAACATTCCTTCATGACTTTGTCGGTTTATATGAGGACTACAATGTATACAAAATTTATCATTCGTCGATGACCGTTGTGCGTGTATGGCATAGTACCGCTGCCAAAGTGACGGTCCTTCTGAAAAGTATATCGTAACAAGTGCAATCACCAAAAGAGATGGTTTTAAAACGTGTTCAAGTATTCCAACATATTCCTCTGATCAGGATCACAGGGAGGGTCTGTCGCCAATGCCCTGCTGGAAGACCAGGACTTTAAAGTCCGAGCTGTGACGAGAAACGCCTCTAGCGACAAGGCCAAGGCACTGCAGGAGAAAGGTGCCGAAGTCGTTGTGGCGAGTATGGACGATCCGAGCACACTGGGACCTGCCCTGCAAGTAAGAATCTTCTTGAGTGACCTTTTCCGTCTCTCAAAAGCGAGATCATGATTTCTTGGCGGTCAAACTAATTTCTAGCATGGAAGCGTATATGGAATGGCCTCGTCAAAATAAAGACGTTGTTACAATGCACGATGTAATGATCGCCATTTAACAGTTACCACCATCACTTTGTTTTACAGGGTGTTCACGGAGTCTTTGTGGTGACCAACTATTGGGAACATTTGGACGAGGAAAGGGAAGTCAAGCAAGTAAGAACTGCCGTTCACCACTGTTCTTCTCTGTGTCGTGCATACATGTAATATGCAAGTTACTATATATAGGCACCAAAAGACTACTATTTCTGGAGAAATGGCGCAGTAAATGCACGTGATGCAAAGTTTTTCCGTCTGGGGGAGTGCGTCTAGGGGTCGCCTCTAGTTTCTTTTCTCCTGGGTGCACCGGTGAGTCATGATTAACTCTATTTCTATATATTCACATCCAACAAAGGGGAAGGCCGTAGCGGACGCGGCCCGAGCTGCCGGGGTGCTGCATGTGGTGTTCAGCGGCCTGGAGAATGTTCAGAAGATCGCGGGGTTTCCCTTACCGCACTTCGACGCCAAGGGGCGGATAGAGGAGTACATGACGTCACTCGACCTGCCCGTGACCTTCGTGAGGTACCCCTTCTACTACGAAAACTACATCAACTTCATAAAATTAAAGCCACAGAAACAGGAGGATGGAACGTACGTTTTGGGTAAGTACGGTCTTGTACATGCTACTTGCATACAGTTACTAGTATATGTTGTCGCAGGGCCAGAAACTAGCTGGCCTAGCTGGTCGCGACTAAAAAGAACACGTGAAAAAGAAACGGTATATGACGTAGAACTGGTAATATACAGGAATAAAATAGCATGGAAAAAAGAAGACCCGTTAGCCCGCTAAGAAGATTGGCAAATATCAAGCAGAAATATTCATGCAAAGGCAAGGCTACTATGGGTCGGGTGGTAAAAATGGATTTGCAATTTTGTTCGTAATATCACTTCAAAGTTCACGCGAGCAAAATTGCTCTATCGTTCATTCAGTACATGTATTTATTCTGTCAATGTTGTCATGTCTGTGGTTGCCTAGGCATCCCGATGGAGGGCGCTGCGATGGACAGCGTCAGTGTAGCTGACATGGGTCCGGCTGTCAGGGAGATCTTCAAGAACTGGGCCGAGTGGGTCCGCCGGACTGTCGGTTTCACCGCAGACAAACTCACCATTCAGCAACACGCAGACATCCTCTCCAAGCACCTGGCACCGAAGGTGTTCAAGGCTACCGACGTGAGTCTGTTGCAGTACTAGATCATTCAACTGTTATAGGTACCCGTCAGTCATCCAGTGGGAGTTGTTACACAATTTACGTACAGAACAAGAACAATGTACAACCGGCTCCGTCCCTGAGGTGTCGTTAAAAACGGCGATGGTGAACGATCTAGTTTTGCTGCCGGTCGTCTTTTCGCTGTCTACATTCCATGCCGTATGTAATTTTAACACTCAACAACTAATTTCCCCTCAATCTACTGTCTTCTAGATGACAGCTGATGCGTTTGCCCAGCTAGGTTTCCCCGGAGCTGATGACCTGGGAAACACGTTCAAGTTCAAGCGACTTCACAACCTTGTCCGTAGCTTAGACCTGACCCGACAGCTGAACCCCGCCGCCAAGACCTTCGACACGTGGGTGGGAGAGAACAAGGACGTGCTACAGAACGCCCTGGACTAGCTCTAGTGTCTGTAGCGACAGATGCTGAGAAAATGACTCGTCATCTGAAGACAAAATAAACAAGGCGTAGGTGACAATCCTCCGTGAAGTTTTATATATTGCAACAAAAACAATCCCAAGCGTCAACGCCAGACCTACTGTGCAGACATTAGGCAACGGTTAATACAATGAGGGCGCGTCACAACCATAAAACATAAAAAGACCTAAATCCATTACTGCTCCCAGGGCGTGTAAAGATACTGTGCTTTAAGTTCGAGGTTCATTTTAATTACACACACACAATCATTGCATTCACATAAAGATCGGACTATCATGGTCGTGTCACTAGTAACAAAGACAACCCCACCGTCTTACCGTTCCTGTTACTTATTAAGCGCGACTGGCCAGGCCAAAATCCAGCAACAGTTACGGCCAGCACCGCGAGTGTTACTACCGCCGGTCAGATACCCGGGCGAAAACATCTCAACGACCTTATAGGGATGTTTCAAAAATAAGCATTTACTCCAATATCAAAACTGCTAGGCCTATTATAGGGTAAAAAATAAAGTGCATAGGCGACAATTCTCCGTGACGTTTTATATTTTGCAGATTGAGAACAGTAATAGTGTATGTAAACAGTGTGTGATCACTTAACAACTGGTAACAACGTATAGTAAATTGGCTAAATCCCTGGTCTAATAATCTAGCCTGACTAAAAAATCGCGCTCCTGGTGGCCACCTGCCCAGAGGTTTGCCGCCCCCTTGGGGAAACAGTTGCAGACTAACGAGTCTAAACGCAGGCTACATAAAATCAACAACACGACAATCTAAATAGATGAACAAAGTCAGCTTTCATAACAATATCTTTCATTTACTACTTATTATTCATTTGACAAGGTATCGCAGTAGCTGCAAACCACAATTCCACCATTATGCACAACAGCCACCTAATATCTGCTTAGAGAACCTCTGCTACCAGACAACTGCCTAAACCTACGGCCTATTCCACAGGATTGTAAAAGTAGGGATGTTTCTAAAATATGCATTTACTTCAATATCAAAACTGCTACGGTGAAAATAAAAAGACGTGCATCATCACGGACATAGTGGCACACCACATGCCCAATTACACAGAAATGCGACGTACGGAAGAATGCGTTTTGGTTGCGAACATCTTCCAAAAAAACTTCTTTAAGCATCTCTTAAGCACGGGCAAAAACATCTGGTACCACTTATCGGACCCTCACGTGCCACATCTGCATGAACTTCCACCCACCCCACCGCTATTCCAAACAACGCGTTTTTCTGGACCATTCCAATTCGCCTAATAATTGTAGGGGTGCATCTGCAATATTACATTGACCGCGAAAGCAGCAACGACAAAAATACACATTCGTGCATCAACACGGGCATCCCCGCAGATGGCGTATAAAACTGCGTGCCGATTACACAAAGAGAACCCAGTGTTTTGACTGCGAACACGAAAAAACAGCACTTCACAACACTCCGTCCGGAGGTCCTGACCTCATTCACGGAGTAATAAAGATACCTCCTAGTATATTTTTACACATTAAAGTGATGGTCGCAATATGTGTTCTGGCGTTATTAATTATTGTGCTTGTAAACATTTTTGTGAAGACTTCCACATGGACCAACCCGCCCTGATCTCCGCATGACTTGCACATTTTTAATGCAGCTGACCAATCGTGGTAGCCTTAGGATAAAGGTCAGTTATGTCACGTAAACCGGCCAGATATACGCGTGACTTGCGTATTTTGTTTGCATTGCTGACTGACCTACCCATTTCTACAATGGAACGACCTACCGTGCGTTTTTGGGTATCAGTGAGGTCACGTCATTCTTGCGTATAGCGTTCACTCGACGAGCTGCAACAACGTTACGGACTCGCTTCAATATGGCGAAACTTATCACCGTTTTCGGAGCAACAGGTGAGTTTGACATGTAAACAGCACATGGTTGTTGGATCGTGCCAGCTGTGAAAGACACGGAGAATGAGTCTGTCCACTATTCACCCCGCGCTGTTGTTAAGTTTTGCCATGCGGAAGCCGGAGTGTAACTTAACTCTGCAGCGTTTTAGAATCGCTGCATTCACAGGTCATTCATTTGTAGATATCGCAAGCCTTTGAGACAGAAAATGAGTCCATTCCAGGTGAAGTATTTTATGTCAAGCAAGTTGATACAGTGCTCAGTTGCCTGAGGCTGTGTGAACAATGCTAGAAACAGGTGCGGGCTTGATTGTTTTAAAAGTTTGTTTGGCAACACAGTCAACACAGAGTGACTTGCGTTCGTCCTGCTTTGCTTGCAATGACTTATAATCATAGTAGAGCAACAAAGTCGGAAGCGTAGGTATAACAATGTCTATTTGCTTCATGTTTGGTCTGTATGAGATCTGAGCTTGCGACAACACTGCTCCATCGATCCACGGCTAATTGGCAATCTCCCAACCAGGCAGTCCCACAAAGTAATTGTGACCTTTTAGACTGCGGTATTCCATTATTTGATTATCCCCGGCGGAAACCGTCAGATGTACACTTAGAGAGGACTAGATCTGTCTAACGCCGAGCTCGGCTTCCAGTGATGACGTACGCACCAGACGAGAAGTGTTTTTATAAACCAGAGGTCTGTCGACGTCAGGCATGTCAGGGGATACCAGTAGTACTGTCCACAAAAAACAAGCTGTACAGTTGATGATTTACAGCTGTTTGGCAGGAATAACAGGCCTCTCAGATAATGCTGTACAAAATCTCTACCAATACGTACAATAAAGTTGTGTTGTTAAGTTCTAATTAAAGTGGGTGTAGCCACCCGATGATTGGTTGAGGAAAATTGCAGTGCCCTAAAGAAAATTATGCTGTAAACAATGGTTAGTCCCTTGGCACGGTGAACCAGGAAAGGGGTTCATACAGAGGACACATATCATGAGGAAGTACAAACTTTTTTTAGAAAGTATTGGAGACGTGCGATGTTTGGTTTTAAAAGCCAGTTTACGGTGGCTAGATGTTTGGCCGTTTTTCTACGTTTTTACGATCTTGTAAAATCATTTAGTAATGTGATGTGATGTAGATTTAAGGCGTTGCCCTCAGACATTCCTCTGGTGTGTTTGGTGTGTTGGCGTGCACCTGTCTTGAATTTCAAACAACCTGCCCATGAATGACCTTTGACATACGTATACCTATCATACGTACAGGTACCTGAGATAAAAATAATCTCCTCGCCGATCATGCCGGCCGTTCGTCGCATTTCATTTTTATTGAGTCTGACAGTATGGGAATGCATTATTCAGCAGCAGCATATAGTTACTTCTCATGTATTTTTATACTGTGAAATTTCCGCATTCTAAGCATCCACTGAGACGAGCCACGAGTGGAATTGTTCGCATAGTCTGTGGTCATGGCAGTGGCAGGTATTCAGCTAAGGTCATCAAGAATGAAGCTTCAAAGAAAACATTCCTTCATGACTTTGTCGGTTTATATGAGGACTACAATGTATACAGAATTTATCATTCGTCGATGACCGTTGTGCGTAGATGGCATAGTACCGCTGTCAAAGTGACGGTCCTTCTGAAAAGTATATTGTTACAAGTGCAAATATCAAAAGAAATGATTTTAAAAGGTGTTCAGATACTCGAACATATTCCTCTGATCAGGATCACAGGGAGGGTCTGTCGCCAGCGCCCTGCTAGAAGACCAGGATTTCAAAGTCCGAGCTGTGACGAGAAACGCCTCTAGCGACAAAGCCAAGGCACTGCAGGAGAAAGGTGCCGAGGTCGTTGTGGCAAGTCTGGACGATCCGAGCACACTGGAACCTGCCCTGAAAGTAAGAATCTTCTTGGGTTTACAACTTGTTGTTCATCTTGACATCCTATCTCGAAGCGATTCATTTCTTATGGGTCAGACTAATGTCTTGTATGGAATGGTTGTCACTCGTACGAGTCGTAAGACGTTGTCGTATAGTTAATGTACCATTCTATTAAAATGGTAACAAATCGTACTTAACAGTTCTACAATCCCTTTGATTTACAGGGTGCTCACGGAGTCTTTGTGGTGACCAACTATTGGGAACATATGGACAAGGAGAGGGAACTCAAACAAGTAAGTCATCACCGCTCTTCCCTGTCTCAGGCAAAATGCAAGTTACTACATTCTCCCGAGGCAGAGGTGTTTCTGCGGCGTACTGAGGTTATACACGCCGCGGAAGCACCTCTGCCTCGAGAGAATGAGTTACTTAATGCACCATGAGAATACTATTTCTGTAGAAATGGCGAAGTAGACACACGTTTTTCTACCTGTGTGAGTGCGGGCAGTGGTCATTTTCATAGACGGTGTCGCCTCTTGTCTTCTTTCTCCTGGTTGAGTCATGAGTAACAGTTTTTACGTTTACCGAAGGAAAACATATTGTTTATGCCCAGTTTCTTCTTCCTCTTCTTCTCCAAACAGTGACCTCAATGACCTGAACCAATGGTGTGTCTGTTACCATGGTAACTAGTGTTGGGTTACATCATATTGCAATTTCATAGCAGGAAGGATTTAGACTCCTGTCTGACCATATATATGAATGTGTTTGAGTAAGAATTAACAGAGCAGAACATATGCGAAGGTAAACATTATGCATTTGCCTTGCAAATGTTACATTTATAGTTCTTTGTTATATTCACATCGATATCCAACAAAGGGCAAGGCCGTAGCGGACGCGGCCCGAGCTGCCGGGGTGCTGCATGTGGTGTTCAGCGGCCTGGAGAATGTTCAGAAGATCGCGGGGTTTCCCTGTCCGCACTTCGACGCCAAGGGGCAGATAGAGGAGTACATGACGTCACTCGAACTGCCCGTGACCTTCGTGAGGTACTCCTTCTACTACGAAAACTACACCAGCTTAATGAAACCACAGAAACAGGAGGATGGAACGTACGTTTTGGGTAAGTATGCTCCTGTACTGTACATGTTACTTGCATTAATGTAATTTATTGTATTTTGTATTGATTTGTTAGGTTTAGAAAATAACTGGTCGTGGCTAACAAGAAACGGCAAATGATGTTACATACAGGCAGAAAGAAGAAGAAAAAATCGTTACCCCGCTATAAGGAGGTTGGCAAATATCAGGCAAAAGTATCTATGCGAAGGCAAGGCTAGGGGTTGGGTGGATAAAATGGATTTGCAATTTTGCTCGTAATGTCACTCGAAAGTTCACGCGAGCAAAGTTGCTCTAACATTCATTCAGTACAGGTATTTATTCCGTCAATATTGTCATGTCTGTGGCTGCTTAGGTGTCCCTATGGAAGGCGCTGCGATGGACGGGGTCAGTGCGGGAGACATGGGTCCGGCTGTCAGGGAGGTCTTCAAGAACTGGGCCGAGTGGGTCCGCCGGTCTGTCGGTTTCAGCGGAGACAAACTCACCATTCAGCAATACGCAGACATCCTCTCCAAACACCTGGCACCGAAGGTGTTCAAGGCTAGCGACGTGAGTCTGTTATAGTACTAGATCACAGTTTAACTGTTATAGGTACCCGTCATCCAATGGGAGCTGTTGTTATGTACATGTAAAAGAACAAGATTAAGGTACAACCGGCTCGCTAAAAACGGCGATGGTGAACGATCACGGGCTAATATGTGAGGGGGCGAGATCTCTGGAGGCGGAGGGCGATATCTGGGATGACGAAATAGCTGTGACACCGGCCGCGGTCGTCTTTTCGCTATTTAGGTTACATTCCATCTCGTACGTAGTTTTAGAACTAAACAACTATTAATTTTCAGTCTCTATCCCATCTACTTTCTCCTAGATGACAGCTGATGCGTTTGGCCAGCTGGGTTTCCCTGGAGCTGACGATCTGGGAAACATGTTCAAGTTTTACCGACTTCACAACCCTGACCGGAGCGCCGACCTGACCCGCCAGCTGCACCCCGCCGCCAAGACCTTCGACACGTGGGTGGGAGAGAACAAGGACGTGCTACAGAACGCCCTGGACTAGCTCTAGTGTCTGTAGCGACAGATTCGAAGAAGATTTAGATGACTCGTCATGTGAAAGACAGGGTGTTCTTATCTTACGTCTGAGCTAAACATACTCTAGAGTCTAGACGCTTTTTACATTTAGAATGCACAATAGAATGCACAATAAATAAACTGTATAATCCTAGAACTGTTGTTTATTTCTTCGTATTTACCACAGATTGACTACTGCGATAAAATTTTGTATCTGGCGAATAAAGAGATGTTTCCCTCGTCGGTCAAGTATTACATTTTTATTGTTAAAGGAACTTCTAAAAATGATGGACGTCTTCTGTCCAAACTAAGTCTCCCAGCGACCTGTCAGGTCATACACCGTTTCTACCATCTAGTATTATAGTACTCTTTGTCATCTGCTGATCATGAAGACTATCACAATGATCAGTACATTGTACATTTGCAATATATCAGAATAAAAGTGTTGACATTAAAAAAATTATAATCAGTAGTTACTTTTGGCCACATCTTGTCATCTACTGATCTTTGCTGAGATGTCTCGAGCTCTCCGTTCAAACACGTGCTAACACAGTTTACATTTCACGTCGTGCTGTTTGACAGCGCGTTCAGCAGCGCCTCCCTGTTGTCCGCCACCCACTGGTCCAGGCCCCTGGTGCCCGGGTACAGCTGCCGGGTCAGCTCCGGGCTGTAGTCGGGGTTTCCCAGGCGCAAGAACTTGAACATGTCGCCGAGGTGCTTTGCTCCCGGGAAAGGCAGCTTACTGAACGCGTCCGACGTCATCTGTGAATGAACATGAAGGACGGATGGATATATGCAAGGCCACGTGCATCGTATTTTCTACCTACGGGGCATGTTGAAGAGCCATACCAACAGTTACAGTGAATGATTTCTTGCTCTTGTACAACATGGATTTGGAAAAGTAAGGGTTAATTCTTTCGTAGGAGAACCGACATCATCATGCTACGATATTAAACTGCAGCAATTACCAACTTAGATTTATGGGTCTTTATGTCGGTATAGTACCTTTGTCGATTTGAACACCCTCGGTGCCAGGTGTTTGGAGAGAATGTCTGCGTGTTGCTGGATGGTGAGTTTTTCTGCGCTGAAGCCGACAGTCCTGCCCAGCCATTCGGCCCTGTTTTGGAAGATCGCTCTGACGGCGAAACCCGAGTCGGTAACGCTGACACCGTGCTCTGCAGCGCCCTCCATCGCGAAGTCTGGAGAAGTCAGACCAAGACAACAGTCGACGCGCCATTTTGACAAACCTGACATAATGACTAAACTCACATGGGTTTTACGTAAAAAATATACCATTTGTTTGCAGATAGCTTCAACATGCTTCTGAAGTTTCAAAACTACTTCTGAATATGTATTTTTGAAGATGACATGGTCGAGTCTTTCTTACACTAAATTACTAGATGGCAATAGTGAGTATACCTATTGCTCATGCCATGTCAATACAGTATCTTATCTCACTGTAGATAGTACAAAGATTAGGAAAACATCATAGCATAAAGTACTTAGTTCATAAGTCCCATCCTCCAGCTTTTTAATCGGGCGGAGGGAGAGGTAGTTATCGTAGTAGCCGGGATACTATCTATCTATCTATCTATCTATCTATCTATCTATCTATCTATCTATCTATCTATCTATCTATCTATCTATCTATCTATCTATAGATAGATAGATAGATAGATATAATGTTACTATAGATATATAGATATAATGTTAATGAATAAAGCACGGCGTAAGCGGGGTGGGAGATCTATGTAATAGACTCATCGGATGTACCCAAGAAGCTTGTAACCAACGGCCTTTCTAACCTCCTTTTGCTTGATATAACATTATCACAGCAAAAGCACGCCCATAGGATGCGTCAAGTTGTCGGGATCATGCGTTGGTTTATGGACCGGAGGCAAAAATTTATCTAAATTTCAGGATTCAGTACAACTTCAAGTTTTAGATCTTGCATGACAAACACAAGAAGCGAGGACATTATACTTTTACGAGAATCTGTAGTGTAACCAAAGGTTTATACCTGCTTGATCTCCAGTTGATCAGAGTCTGGAACTTCAAAGGAATGCTGAGTCATCACGAACGTTCCGTGGGCACCCTGGGCAGAAAAAGATCACATCGAAAAGAATACCAGAACCCATCGCCGGAACAGAAACGACAATAAAGTCTGTAAACAATTGAGGCACCTTTTTCAGCTGTGATAAGGAATGATATCAAGGTTCAGTCAGGTTGCAGTCTTACTTACCTGCAGTGCCCGCTCCAGAGAGCTGGCATCGTCAAAATTGCCTTCAATGACCTCTGCACCTCTCTCCTGCAGTGCCTTAGCTTTATCGCTAGAGGCGCTTCTCGTCACTATTCGAACTTTGAACTCTGGATCCTCCAGCAGGGCATTGGCCACCCCACCTCCCTGGGTCCCTGTGTGGGTTCCACAGGACAGATAGGTTTGATTTAATCAGGTTACGTGACAGTTCGAGATCAGATAGCTTCCCTTGCCAAACACGCCAATCCCCATGTACATGTTCACTGCTTGGAAATTACATATAAGCTGGTATGGTTTGAAACTTATCGAGTGAAAACTCACCTGTTGCTCCGAAAACAGTCACAACTTTAGCCATGCCCTTGAACTTTGACTTGTGACCTCAAATCTAGTCTCCTGCAAGGATTTGACCTTAACGGAAAAGTAACACTGCTTTTGTAGTGAAGCTTCTTCTGCCGAGCTAAACATACTGGCCAATTATGAGGGTCTGCATGGGGGGATCCGGGCAACGTGCAATTGTGTACCTTAAACGCTAAATTCATGAAGGCTGCCAATGCTTAACGGTAAATAAACTGGTTCTTGTGAAAGGGTTTGAAGCAATTTTATTGGCAATGTAGACAGTACATGTGTGATGGCGAATGACAAGCATTCAGTAAACAATTATTTTTAAGATGTAGTTTTTCTTTGCAGTGTATTGGACTTTGTTAGAACATTTTGTCTGATGTTAAAGAAACTTTGAAAAATGATATCGATTAAAGGAAATGGAAATCTCCTGTCCAAAATTAATCTCCCAACAACCTCAGGCCACATGTAGTTCACACCTTTTCTAATGCTCTTTGTTATCACTTCAGCGTTACTGGAGGCTGTCGCTGTACACAGTAATGAATTTTACCATATTGCGTTGCTGAGAATTCTTTCCCTTCATATACACGTGCTTACAGTGTATAGGTACACTACACCGTTCCCGGCTGTTACGACATCGCCTTTAGCAGCGGCTCCTTATTGTCCGCCACCCACTGGTCCAGGCCCCTGGTGCCCGGGTACAGCTGGCGGGTCAGCTCCGGGCTGTAGTCGGGGTTTCCCAGGCGGTAGAACTTGAACATGTCGCCGAGGTGCTTCGCTCCCGGGAAGGGCAGCTTACTGAACGCGTCCGACGTCATCTGTGAACATGAGATATGGATGGTTGTATGCGTCGATGAAGGTTTAGACATCCAGGTAAAGAGATACTTAAGATAATTGATGGTGACAGGAGTCTAAATCCATCCTGCTTTAAACTTTGGTGTAATCCAACACTAGTTGCCATGGTGATAGACGTCTGGTTCAGGTTTCATTGGCCTTACTTGTTTGGAGAAGAAGAAAAGGAAAAAGAAACAGCCTGAGCAAAAACAATCAATATCATATGTTTTCCTTCGGTAAACACGATAAGTTAGTATGTACTTACCTTACTCGGTTTGAACACCCTCGGTGCCAGGTGTTTGGAGAGAATGTCTGCGTGTTGCTGGATGGTGAGTTTTTCTGCGCTGAAGCCGACAGTCCTGCCCAGCCATTCGGCCCTGTTCTCGAAGATCGCTCTGACGGCAAAACCCGCGTCGGCTACGCTGATGCCGTGCATGCCAGCGCCCTCCAGCGGGTATCCTGGAGAATGCAAACGGCAAGAGTCGATCACTGCGTCGTCTTGACCAGATGACCATCACATATAACCAAGCTAACTCAACAAACATACAGATTTCCAATATTCATGATCTTCTTCTAGACACGTCTGGTGGAAGACAATACGATCGGCTCTTTCTAACACTGAAAACTTCAGGACGACAATGAGCAACGTACCTACTGCTTAATATGCAATGTCATACTAGTACTAGATAGGGTGAAGATTGATAAAAAAAAATTATACCTAGTTCGTACGTATCATCTTCCAGTTTTTGAACCAGGCGGAGGGAGAGGTAGTTATCGTAGAAGCCAGGATACTTGACGACGGTTAGGGGAAGGCCGAGAGACTTCATGTACTCTTCGATCTGTGCTTTAGAGTCGAGGTGCAGACAGGGGAACCCCAGGATTTTCTGGACGTTTTCCAGGCTACTGAACACCACGTGTTTCACACCGGCAGCTTTGGTCGCATCCGCCACAGCCTTACCCTTGGAGTAGATTGGTAAATAAACATGCGATGAAGAGTCTCGTTCAGTAATAATTTCGTATCGCTAGCTCTCTCTTTATATATATATGTTTACAGGAAGGTAGTTCTGCCTCCCCCGTTTTATGAAATGAAATAGACAACACATATTACGAAGATAAAACCTCGTAGGTTTTGTGTTAAATTTGTGGTGTGTATTGGTTTATGGCGGCAAACATCATCTACAGTTTATGATGGTTGTAGACGTTTCAACTTTTAAGCAACAGCACGAAATGTTGAGATCACCATCCTAGTTGTACCGGAACTGTTACCTGCTTGATCTCCAGTTGATCAAAGTCTGGATCTTCAAAGGAATGCTGAGTCATCACGAACGTTCCGTAGGCCCCCTGGACAGAAAGAAGATAACCTAAATCTATGACATAATTGATGCACACCTGTATCAACTATAATAAGGAATGATATTAAGATTCAGTCAGGTGGCAGTCTTGCTTACCTGCAGTGCCCGCTCCAGAGAGCTGGCATCGTCAAAATTGCCCTCAATGACCTCTGCACCCCTCTCCTGCAGTGCCTTAGCTTTGTCGCTAGAGGCGCTCCTCGTCACTATTCTGACTTTGAACTTTGGATCCTCCAGCAGGGCATTGGCCACTCCACCTCCCTGGCTCCCTGTAAAGCCCAGAAAATGTGGAGTTCGCAGGACAAATGGGTTTGATTGAATCAGCGCAGGTTCTTACGTGACAGCTCATGATCAGAACACATTACTAGTAACCCCTAGCAATATACATGAATGTGGAGCAACACATCTGCTCGGAAATTACATAATAGCTATGGTTTGAAAACTCACCTGTTGCTCCGAAAACAGTGATAACTTTAGCCATGTTCCTGAACTTTCAACCCTGTCTCGTGACTCCAAATTCTGTCTCCCGCTTGGCTTTACAGAAAAGTGACGCTGGCTGTTGAGTGAAGCCGAAGCGTCGTCTGGTGTCAGTTACTATGGCACTGCCCAAACATTTGCCGAAGACAACGCCCTCTGATTACTAAGTAAACCAGTTTCACAAACCTAGAGGCACACCTGTTTACCCAACCAAAATGTTCGACACGTGGGTGGGAGAGAACAAGGACGTGCTACAGAGCGCCCTGGACTAGCTACAGTGTCTGTAGCTGCAGATTCTGAGAAAATTTAGATGACTCGTCTTGTGAAAGACAGGGTGTTCTAATCTTAGATCTGAGCTAAACATACTTTAGACGCTCTGTACCTTTAGAATGCACAATAAATAAACTGTATAATCCTAGAACTGTTGTTTATTTCTTCTTATTTACCACAGATTGACTACTGCAATAAAATTTTATATCTGGCGAATAAAGAGATGCTTTCCTCGTCGGTCAAGTATTATATTTTTATTGTTAAAGGAACTTGATGATAAAAATGATGGACGTCTTCTGTCCGAACTAAGTCTCTCAGTGACCTGTCAGGTCATACACCGTTTCCACCATCTAGTATGGCGCTCTTTGTCATCTGTTGATCATGAAGACTGTCACAATGATCAGTACATTTTGCAATATATCAGAATAAAAGTGTTGACATTAAGAAAATGATAGTCAGTACTTAATTTTGCCACATCTACTGATCTTTGCTGAGATGTCTCGAGCTCTCCGTCCACACACGTGCTTACGCATGCAGTTTACATTTCACGTCGTGCTGCTTGACATCGCGTTCAACAGCGCCTCCTTGTTGTCCGCCACCCACTGGTCCAGGCCCCTGGTGCCCGGGTGCATCTGGCGGGTCAGCTCCGGGCTGTAGTCGGGGTTTCCCAGGCGCAAGAACTTGAACATGTCGCCGAGGTGCTTCGCTCCCGGGAAAGGCAGCTTACTGAACTCGTCCGACGTCATCTGTGAATGAACATGAAGGACGGATGGATATATGCAAGGCCACGTGCATCGTATTTTCTATCAGGCTATTGGGCATATTGAAGAGCGCTACCAACAGATACAGTGAATGATTTCTTGCTCTTCTACATGGATTTGGAAAAGTATGGATGTTTCTAATTCTAGGAGAAGCGACATCATCATGCTACGATATAAACTGCAGCAATTACAAACCGTTAGATTTATGAGTCTTTATGTTGGTGTTACTGTACTTGTTCAAACCGACAAAGGTACTACTGTAGTACCTTTGTCGGTTTGAACACCTTCGGTGCCAGGTGTTTGGAGAGGATGTCTGCGTGTTGCTGGATGGTGAGTTTTTCTGCGCTGAAGCCGACAGTCCTGCCCAGCCATTCGGCCCTGTTCTTGAAGATCGCTCTAACGGCAAAACCCGCGTCGGTAACGCTGACACCGTGCTCTGCAGCGCCCTCCATCGCGAAGTCTGGAAAAGTTAGACCAAGACCACAGTCGACGTGGCATTTCGACAAACCTGACATAACGACTAAACTCACACGGGTTTTACGTAAGAAATATACCATTTGTTTGCATTTATATATGTATAGCTTCAACATGCATCTGAAGTTTCAAACTGACTACTTCTGGATATGTATTTTTGAAGATGACATGGTGGAGTCTTTTTTACACAAAATTACTGGACAGCAATAAGCTTACGGTACACCTACTGCTTATGTCCTATCAATCCACAGATAGTACAAAGATTCGGAAAAAAACCATAAAGCATAAAGTACTTAGTTCATAAGTCCCATCCTCCTGCTTTTTAATCGGGCGGAGGGAGAGGTAGTTATCATAGTAGCCGGGATACTTGACGATGGTAACAGGAAGGCCGATAGACTTCATGTACTCTTCGATCTGTGCTTTAGAGTCGTAGTGCAGACAGGGGAACCCCATGGTCTTCTGTACGGGATCCAGGCTACTGAACACCACATGTTGTACACCGGCAGCTTTGGCCGCATCCGCCACAGCCTTACCCTTGGATTAGATAGAGAGTCTTGCTCAGTTAATTATAAATTAGTAACACTATATATAGGAATAAAGCACGGCGTACGCGGGGTGGGAGATCTACGAGTATCTTAATTACCTAATATATCCTAATCCTAATATCCTAATCTGATGTAATAGAATAGACTCATCGAATGTAACCAAGAAGCTTGTAACCAAGGGCCTTTCTAACCTCCTTTTGCTTGATATAACATTACCACAGCAAAAGCACGCTCAAAGGATGCGTCAAATTTTCGAGATCATGCGTTGGTTTATGGAGGAAAAAATTTATCTAAATTTCAGGATTCAGTAGAACTTCAAGTTTCAGATCTTGCATGACAAACACAAGAAGCGAGGACATTATACTTTTTACCAGAATCTATAGTGTCAACTAAAGGTTTTACCTGCTTGATCTCCAGTTGATCAGGGTCTGGAACTTCAAAGGAATGCTGAGTCATCACGAACGTTCCGTGGGCACCCTAGGCAGAAAAAAAGATCACATCGAAAAGAATACCAGTACCCATCGCCGGAACAGAAACGACTATAAAGTCTGTAAAAAGTTGAGACACCTTTTTCAGCTGTGATGAGGAATGATATCAAGGTTGCAGTCTTACTTACCTGCAGTGCCCGCTCCAGAGAGCTGGCATCGTCAAAATTGCCCTCAATGACCTCTGCACCTCTCTCCTGCAGTGCCTTAGCTTTATCGCTAGAGGCGCTTCTCGTCACTATTCGAACTTTGAACTCTGGATCCTCCAGCAGGGCATTGGCCACCCCACCTCCCTGGGTCCCTGCATGGGTTTTATAGGACAAATAGGATTGATTTAATCAGGTTACGTGACATTTCGTGATCAGATAGCTTCCCTTGCCAAACACGTCTATCCCCACGTATATATTCACTGCTTGGAAATTACATATAAGCTGGTATGGTTTGAAAATCGAGTGAAAACTCACCTGTTGCTCCGAAAACAGTGACAACTTTAGCCATGCCCTTGAACTTTGACTTGTGACCTCAAATCCAGTCTCCTGCAAGGATTTGACCTTACAGAAAAGTAACACTGCTTCTGAAGTGAAGCGTCTTCTGCCGAACTAAACATACTGGCCAATTATGAGGGTCTGCATGGGGGGGGATCCTGGCAACGTGCAATTGAGTACCTTACTTTGAACGCTAAATTCATGAAGGCTGCCAATGCTTAACGGTAAATAGACTCGTTCTTGTGAAAGGGTTTGAAGCAATTTTATTGGCAATGTAGACAATACATGTGTGATGGCAAATAACAAGCATTCAGTAAACAAGATGTAGTTTTTCTTTGCAGTGTATTGGACTTTTGTTAGAATATTTTGTCTGATGTTTAAAAAACTTTGAAAAATGAAATTGATTAAAGGAAATGGACATCTCCTGTCCAAAATTAATATCCCAACAACCTGTCAGGTCACATGTAGTTTACACCTTCTTTTATAATTCTCTTTGTCATCACTTCAGCGTTACTGGAGGCTGTCGCTGTACACAGTAATGAATTTTACCATATTGCGTTCCTGAGAATTCTTTCCCTTCATATACACGTGCTTACAGTGTACAGATACACTACGCCGTGCCCGGCTGTTATGACATCGCGTTCAGCAGCGCCTCCTTGTTGTCCGCCACCCACTGGTCCAGGCCCCTGGTGCCCGGGTACAGCTGCCGGGTCAGCTCCGGGCTGTGGTCGGGGTTTCCCAGGCGGTAGAACTTGAACATGTCGCCGAGGTGCTTCGCTCCCGGGAAGGGCAGATTACTGAACTCGTCCGACGTCATCTGTGAACATGAGATATGGATGGTTGTATGCATCGATGAAGGTTTAGACATCCAGGTAATGAGATACACAAGAAAATTGATGGTGACAGGAGTCTAAATCCTTCCTGCTATAAAATTGCAACATGGAGCAACCCAACACTAGTTGCCATGGTGACAGACGTCTGGTTCAGGTCATTGACCTGCATGATTTGTTTGGAGAAGAAGAGGAAGAAGAAACAGAGCAAAAACAATCAATATGTTTTCCTTCGGTCAATATAATAAGTTAGTATGTCGGTCCCACTTACCTTACTCGGCTTGAACACCCTCGGTGCCAGGTGTTTGGAGAGAATGTCTGCGTGTTGCTGGATGGTGAGTTTTTCTGCGCTGAAGCCGACAGTTCTGCCCAGCCATTCGGCCCTGTTCTTGAAGATCGCTGTGACGGCGAAACCCGCGTCGACGGCTACGCTGATGCCGTGCATGCCAGCGCCCTCCAGCGGGTATGCTGGAAAATGCAGAAGGCAAGACAAGAGTCGATCACTGCGTCGTCAGTTGACCAGATGATATCACATATAACCAAGCTAACTGAACAAACATACAGATTTCCAATATGCATGATCTTCTTCTAGACATGTATTGTCGAAGACAATACGATCGGCTCTTTCTAACACTGAAAACTTCAGGACGACAACGAGCAACGTACCTACTGCTTAATATGCAATGTTATAGATAGAATGAAGATTGATAAGAAAAGCATACCTATTTCGTAAGTATCATCTTCCAGTTTTTGAACCATGCGGCTGGAGAGGTAGTTATCGTAGAAGCCAGGGTACTTGACGACGGTTAGGGGAAGGCCGAGAGACTTCATGTACTCTTCGATCTGTGCTTTAGAGTCGAAGTGCAGACAGGGAAACCCCATGATTTTCTGGACGTCTTCCAGGCTACTGAACACCACGTGTTGTACACCGGCAGCTTTGGCCGCATCTGCTACAGCCTTACCCTTGGAGTAGATTACAACATGTGATGAATAGCCTCGTTCAGTTGTATGAAATTTCGTATCGCTAGCTATATATGCATATAGCTCTAAGTTTACAGCAGGAAGATAGTGCTGCCTTCCCCCCTTTTTATTAATGAAATAGGCAACACATATAACATTACGAAAATAAGACCTCGTAGGTTTTGTAATTTGTGGGGTGTAATGGTTCATGGCGGCAAACATCATCACGAAATGTTGAGAATACCATCCTAGTTGTACCAGAACTGTTACCTGCTTGATCTCCAGTTGATCAAAGTCTGGATCTTCAAAGGAATGCTGAGTCACCAAGAACGTTCCGTAGGCCCCCTGGACAGAAAAAAAGATAACAAAGAAGACCCTTGACAACGCCGGACTCGACTATAAAGTCTGTAAAAGCGCACACCTGTATCAACTATGATGAGGAATGATATTAACGTTGGTAGTCTTACTTACCTGCAGTGCCCGCTCCAGAGAGCTGGCATCGTCAAAATTGCCCTCAATGACCTCTGCACCTCTCTCCTGCAGTGCCTTAGCTTTGTCGCTAGAGGCGCTCCTCGTCACTATTCTGACTTTGAACTTTGGATCCTCCAGCAGGGCGTTGGCCACCCCACCTCCCTGGCTCCCTGTAAAGCCCAGAAGATGTGGAGTTCGCAGGACAAATGGGTTTGATTGAATCAGTGCAGGTTCTTACGTGACAGCCCATGATCAGAAAACACACTAACCTCTAGTACATACCGTGTGAACGTGGAACAACACATCTGCTCGGAAATTACATCATAGCTATGGTTTGAAAACTCACCTGTTGCTCCAAAAACAGTGACAACTTTAGCCATGTTCCTGAACTTTCAACCCTGACGCGTGACTCCAGATGCAGTCTCCTGCTTGACTTGTCAGAAAGTGACGCTGGCCGTTGAGTGAAGCCAAAGTGTCGTCTGGTGAATACTATGGTACTGCCCAAACATTTGCCGAAGACAACGCCCTCTGATTACCAAGTAAACCAGCTACACAAACCTAGAGAGCTACACCTCTTAGCCCAAACAAAATGTTGACCCAATAATCTTTGAGACAAGTTAACTTTTTGTTCATGAAAAGCGTTTGAAGCTTAAAGCTATTAAAGGTGTCAAAATCATCCATGTAACAGACATGTTTTTTCTGTGCCGTATTGGTAAACGGATAGTTTTTCACATGCACGCTGTGGTGACTGGCTGTACATGTACATGTATTCACCGAAAGCTTCTCACCTGTCAGTATTGCTTCAAGCAGACGATCAAATATCCATCTCCTGGAGCGCGCACAATGCTATAGTATTAGCTGGAGTGATTCCGTTTTTAAATGAGAATCTGACATTGCTGAGCATGCCGAAAATGGGTGATGTTGCCATTTCGGAACGTGGATGGCAGATGAATATGAAGATGAAGAGAGGAGGCAAGAAAAGGTTCCGGTTAATTTTTTGTCCTTTACTTTGATGCAGTGATGTATTTCATTCCTTTTATATGTGATGTTCCCTCTGAATCAAAACCATTTGAAAACATTTATTTTTCAACGTTGTTTCAGTGACAAATGGACGTCGTAATAGTTGGCAGTAAACCTAGCACAGCATAGCTATCATGTCTTATTTATTTAACAAAGTTTATGATGTCAAAATTTGAAGCTGTAGGAATCCTGTTTTTTGGCCCGCCTTGTTAGTTTCGCCCTATCGCATTAGATTTTGAGTCTGTGGTTGATGCCATCCATAGAATTTACTGGCTGTGACCGTACTTAAAACATAAGTTAAGTTATCCAAGCTTTTTTAACATGTAGAAATGTAGGCCTTGTCTATACTACTAGTGGTTATTTCGGTATCATAATATTAATATTATAATTGATCACATGGACTTTAATTTATTTGTCGTGGCGTATTGAATATTATCTTTTGAGACTGACCATCAAAGTCTTGTGGTCTTGACATCGCGATCGGTACCATTTACATGTTTATCGTGACTTCTCCGCGGCATGCGCACTATTGAGATCAACACATGACGCACGTACTAGTAAGTAAATGTGCAGTACATACATGTATCTGGGTTGTATCACTCCGCGGTAAAGCGGCCACCAGCGGCGATGCACCACCACTTCCGGGTGCCCAAGCCACCATGCCAAGTTGAATTGGACACCGATTATTGTCATGCCTGTCGTAGCCAGTGCCTTGGTTTTCAGACATAGAGGATCATAGAGAGTCTTTCCCTTGTTCTGATATGGGATTAATATTCAGTCTGAGACATTTCATGGTGTGATGGTTGGCCCTTGTAAATTACAAATGTACGGTAAATACTGTCCTATTAAATTTACCTTTCCTGGAGTGACTGTATAAAGAAAATGACGCATATGGAGGAAAGAGATCCAACAGCACTGATTGAAAAGATTTTGGGAAAAACGTAATTTTGTTACGCTAGCCTGAAATGCCTACTTGTGAGTAATTTCCTATACACAAAGTGAACATACAGCAACCGCCATGTTGCACTGAGCATGTTGACCCACACGCCAACCCGTGGTGTGTGCCCTCGGACGCCATGTCAGTCAGTAGGCCGACCTCGGTGAATCCTCGGTCTTCGCTCCCTGAACACTCCACCGTGACCCTGAACTTGCCTCGTCATAACTAAGCCCGGGGATATGATACCCTTAACTCGAATATGTGTCACGGTTCCCAATAGTTCACTTTAATAATTCGTTTAGTGCATACATTGTGATCATGTTAACACACCGTGACGGGGTTCCTCTAGTGGTTATTAAGTTGAACCTGTCAATCAACATGGCGTGACCTGACCATAACCCTCTCAGAGTGAGACGAAATGTCCAATTTCACTGTGTCCAAAAAACGGCACCCCTTCAGACACCATTAGTCTCCGAGCCGGCCGTCCATAATTTGCCGCGGTGAAGACAATAACTGACTGATGAGCATTAAAATTTACAGCATCTGCTGGTCGAATAGGTATGTCAGAACGGTTAACGTTACATGGATGCACCATGTATGTTTGATCAGTAATTTCCTGCATGCATAAATTGCAAGGCAACTTGAAATTAAGTCACAAGCTAAGGACTGTAGTCCCAAGACTCAAATTCACCACCGCTTCCACTTTGTTATTCAAAGACGAACCACTAGCAAATGTCAGAAACCAGTTACAAAAGGAAATGGTGTGCAATAAGAAAACAGCACATAATGCACCAAAAGGAGCCCAGCAGCCAAGAACCCGTCAAATCAGGCGAATTCGAAGCCCATCCCTTGCCTACTCGCGAGTAATGGGCATTGTTGTAGGGTGACTCATGAACACTGTATGGATTACCTCACCCACCCACCTTCAGTACAAACAATAGCTGAAATAGGAGAAGTTCAAGCACATTCAAAATATGCGAATTTTACGGGATTCGCAGCTAATCTGACCATTAGTTAGTATAGTGGTAATTAGCGTAATCCTATAACCGAAAACAAAAGGTTTTAAATAGCTCTTCCACCCCAATCATTCGTCTGAACAATTCCTTGCCTAGAGACCGAGAACTACATCCGTGTTTAGCTGTGTGTTTTATTGTTTGTGATAATTGATGGTATACGTAATTAACCTACAAAATGTTATGTTGCCGGCATGCCAGTAGTTTGTACTTTTCTCAGTCGCAGGCTCAGGCCTTGGAATGTGGCCACAGTCCCTTTGCCTGGGGATGTCACCTATGACCTATTGGCATACGGCTTTGACCAGCTAGACTATGACGCCACATAAGAACGTTTATCTGAGCAGTAAACTGATGAAATACCTGGCCGCTGGTAGCCTCGACTCGTTATGCTAACCATACACAATCATACAGGCAGTGTAACCGCGGAATGCTGACTGAATTGTACCAGTAATCATGATTACATTTTACCTCTCTTCCTTTGTCGAGAAAAAAGACACATTCAGGTGACTTGTTTTTTGACGTTATAAACAATCCATTGCTTAATGCAAAACACATTCCTATAACGTTCACTGAGGGGATGAACAGCATCAAGTGTTGACTAGCAGTTGTGGTTTAATCTAAGGCATGGGAGTCACAGAATGGAACTGGCCTGGTTTGAATAAGCTTGAGACCTAGAAATTTTAAAGCAGGAATATGTAATAGGGGAGCATTGCTAGCTTTTACAGGAATATTGCCACTGTTGCCACTCAGTTATTGAATGGTGGACCGTCGAGGCCATCAATATAGGGATAGATTGATTAGATAAGAAGATAACTGGCTAGCAATTGGAAATTTCAAGAGGATTTTGATTGACAGTTTTGTCCATGGGTAGGCGATGTGACGGGTTTGCTCAGTGAGGCTCAAGAATTTGCCGTTAACGGTTAAAATGTCTGGAGTTGCCCGGAGCGCCCGCCTAGTCATCGCGGTGGGGTGAAGTATCCGCAAGGGGGCGCTTCTCGCCCGACTTCCGGCAGTGTGTATCCATCTGTCTCGTCCCAAACAAGATTGGGCAACATGGTTCGCAGAACGGACCCAGCGCGGCGGGTGACGGGCGGACTTTGCAAGACTAGCCCTCCGCAGGCTAAACCTGAGGCCGCCTCCAGACCCTCCCGAGATCCCCGAGACTCTGACTCGGCCATGGAGTCTTCTGAGAGTGACGACGAGGGCGGGATGGACGAACTGGTGGCGATGGCAAGTCGGAGCATGCGGGCCAAGATGGCGGAGTCAGCCTCAGCCACGAGTTCGGCCGCCGCTGCCGAGGCGGGAACGTCGGCAGCCGCATCTGCCGCCTCGTTCATGATCGACAAGCGGCCCTCGGCTGAAGAGGAGGAGCAGACCGAAGTCATCGTACCCGATTTGTCGGGCCCGAAGCCTGGAAAGTCTTCGTGGCGCAAGAAACAGTGAGCAAACTTCTAGAATCAGATCTCTCGCAGCTTCCTTCTAGCTGAGGTCTCAAAGTGTGAAAGACATGTCCGTGTGAAATACCCAACGCCCCATGAATTAATTTGTAGCTTTTCTTCAGTTTCTTTCACTTACATGATTATGGACTTTTGAAGTCAACAGTATTTACATTGTTTTAGCTTACTCGTACAAAATTACGGTCTCTTTTTATTGGGCCATGGGGCACAGACGGTCCAGGTGCTTTTCGACGGGGGTACCTCATGATGTGACCTTGGCCAATCAGGAGCCAGTAAACGGTTTGACGTCATGGAATAAGCCTGCCTTATCCAATGAAAAGTTGCCATCAAATGACCACACGTTTCGTACGGATTATTTATCCAATGAGGTTGCTTTAATAGCTAATTAATTCTGTAGGGTATGTAACATGGCTTGTCCTTCTTGCAGTAGGCCAAGCATGATATACTGTGCCTCAATAAGGTAAGTACAAGTACAACTGGGCATGGTAACAGTTAGGGGGTTGGTAACAACAGGCCTCTTGCTCATGTAAAATTCTTGATTTCCAACTGTGGAACTGAAAAAAAGACTGTCTGATAGGGTCCCTTGGGTATCCAGAAAGATTGTTTAGGGTGTGGATGGCCAGAATTTTGCCCTATCTTTATCTTTATCATACACTGACAAAAATGTTGCCAGTTTAGTGTCATAGTGTCATCAACATTGGGTGATGGAAGGGCCAGTGAAAAGATTTTGGTGGAGGAAATGATGTGGTAATCATGATCCATAACACGGTGGTTGTGGTTTTATAATGTACACTCAGAAAGCTCAATGCAATGTCACATTAACTCTTACAAGTTATACCTTATATTTACAGCTTACACTTTCGCAATTACTTGAATTTCAGAAGGGTGGGGATCTCGCAGGTAACATGTAGATTCATATGCTGTATAGTACTATGCATGATGACCTGCTTGGGGTTATGCCCAACTTGATAGTGGCTTGAGCTAGTTGGGGAACTGCTATTATCAGTGGACTCAGCCAACTGCAGTGGTGTAGTGTCGTGACATGCATGGCACTCAAGCAACCTGAAGACTTTATGGCTTCACTGCTTGGTCAGCTGGATATACAAACAACATAACATACATTTGGATTGTGGTGCTTACTGGGCAGTGTTTTAGTGGATCCCATTCTAGCAGTGATGTTTGATGTACAATGTATATTGTTGTAACTTTTTAAATTTTTGCATGAAGGACCACCATGAGGTAAGTCTACATATGCCCTGGTTTAATAAATGATGCACAACACAGTGGATTTGGTGCAGTAGGACACTCACACGTGCTTATGTTTTGGGAACTTGCTTCTTGTGTGTGTTGAAACGAGGATGTTATATTAATATATATGCAAGTCTAAACAGAATGGTGTAAAGAGTAGTTTTCCTAGCAACATGACATTTTCACGGTGAACTTGCACCCAAGTATTCCACCCAGGTATATTGGGTAATGAACTGTGTTGACCAAGGAGTCTGCCAGTGGGGATAATCTGGCAACAAAAAAGAAAGACATGCCAACATCATGATTATACAATATATAATGTACCTCCCTACATCTGCAAATGACGTACATGGGAGGATAGATCACATCTGCAAATGTTCATGATGTATACCCAAGAACAATACGTACATTTATGTCACTGGGATAAAACAAAGAAGGTTATAATTAGTAAAATCTACCCGGTATGTTGATTATTGGTATTCTTATCCCAGGTTGGTTGGTTGGATGAAAAAAAAGTGGTGATACCATATTATCCATGTCAGCAGTCACCATGTACACATTTGACGGAATCGTGTTTCACTAGGAAAAATATAGATTCAGCAGGAGAAGTTGCTTTAACTTATGTTAAGAATAGATATGACAATACGACAAAGAAAATTATAGTAAGTTTTCGATTATTTTGCTCTGAAGCATTCATAGCAACTGTCATGCTCTCATGATGAAAACATCATAACTCATACAATGCATTATATTTGGAGCAAGGCTGGGAATCTGAGGGCTGAGGTATAATTGTGAGTGAATTTGTGACCATAAGACTTTGCTTTTAAAATTTAAATCTTTTCTACTCTGAAAGCAACAATAAGAAGAAAAAAAATGAAAGCTGTTATTTCAAAGGTATAGGTCTAGTATAGAAAGCAAAGATTTTGACCAGGTCCTTGACTTTGCACCGCCCCTGTGTTAGGAAACCAAACAATACTTTGATAACAGATTATCAGCCAAAAACACCATGTTTATGTCAATATGTGTTACATTCTTGCCAAAGGGAGGTTATACTGGCCATACAATACATGGTGCATGGATTGCTTTGGAAGTGCAATACATATATAATGTTCTTTGGTAGGGGAAAATACATTTTGGTAGGGAGACCCTTTGCTACTGTAGCCTCCATTGATTTAACTACGGTGTAATGAGCATTTTGATTGTACCAGTAATAAATGAACTCTGACCCCTGATCAAATATATGTGACACATAACTGTTCAATTACGTATACCCAATTTTGTTGTTTTATTTTGGTTAGTAGTCTTCAGTTATGAATTTTATATCAGTTGACATGTTCCCCCCCCAGGATTCAGCTCTCGTCTGAACTTGACCCTGGCATTGATGTTGGGGAGACGTACCTGAACCTGGGCAGCCAACACCCGACAGCAGAAACAGACACCATGAAAAACATCCTGATGAAGGATAGGCAGGATGAAGAGGTAGTATGGGTATAGAGACTCTGATAGAATTGATTGATACCATGTCAGCTTGATTTACTACAAGCTGATACATAAAAATGATAACTTTTAATAACTTAAAATTTCAAGTCTAGAAACAACATGTGAAGCAGACAATAACCACAAAGGGGATTTAGTCTGTTTGCTTGCAAGATTTTTCTTCCAAAATTAAAAAATTTTTTTTTTAAAATACACAATGAAGAGAGCATGCAGAGGCCATAGTTTTGATTTATTTGTGGTCATTGTGACTTATACTACATAGCTGCAAAATTTCATACAGATATACAAATTTTCAAATTTTGGCCTGTCTGACCAAGCTACACGTGCATACAGACTTACATGAAGTAGGAATATTTCTACTGTCATGTATGTACATGAAATTTGTCTCGTGATTATGTTTCAGATAATGAAGTCATTTGCATACATAATGAGAGTGCAAAACTGGAGATTGAAAGCAGACCCTTTAATTTACCTTGGTCATGAGACTTAATACTTTGTAACTTATTCCATCTTGATTGATATCACCAAGAAGAGAAAATGGGAACATAGGTACTGCTAGAACAAAGAGAAACTTCCTAGTTTTCAACAAAAGAAGGAACAACTAATTGCCACAGTGTTTATCCAGTTGTTGTAACTGGATACAGCTGTGTGCTTTGGCAGGTGAGGGTGGTTAGGTGAGCTGGAACATGCAAAGGGCTGACGTGCAGTCAAATGATTGTCAACAACCCCCATGTTCTAAGGTCCCAAGACACTCTCCACACACCTTCATGTTTACATGTGTTGAAAGTGGAAGCAAGCATGACTGATCTTCACCTAAGATCTTTCATACATTGTCGGTGACTTAACCTATAGCTATTTTATGGTGACTGCATCATTGGTCACATTACAAACCAATAATTATTCTTGGTTCTCAAGAAGTTTGCAGGGAATAATGGTTGTGACACAATAAGGGAAAAAACAATTTTTTATTCTTGCGATAGACCCAAATGTACCACAGGAGCCACCAAGTCAACATTTTTGGCTAATGACATTCCAAACAGTTGCATGAATACATGGAAAAATTTATTTGTGGGTGGGTGGGTGGTGGGGGAGTTTAGGGATACATACATGTAACTGGAATAGCACACTTTTTTTTTCAAATCAGAAAAATGGAGTGGAGAACCAAGACATTGACTTCGTATGGCCTTGTTTAGAAAAAACGATTTTTGAGAATGAACAGGATGTTTCCACTTCACATACCTCGTATTCATGTTTGTCACGGGTATTTTTTGTTGCCAAAATCATCTTGATTCGTAGATGATTTTTCTAACATAACAATTGCATATTTTGAAATGCTTCATTCACCAATGCACAATCATGTTATTGCAGCTACATGTATATTATGTTTTGCTGCCTTGAGTTCCTTCCCTAGGTTCCCTGCAACCGATACATGGCCAAAGGGCATGACACATTCACTTCAAGGCTAACTGACACAGGACAATGGGCCCAGTGTTTACTGGTATTTTTCAAAAAATTTTACTTATTACCAATTAGTGAATCAGTAAAGTCAACAAAACAGGACTTATGATTTGACTTGAATTGCTTTTATGTAAACAATATCTTTATAGCACAGCTGTACATTTGCTACTACTTTCCAGACCACCAGAGAAAAAGTCCACAAAGAAAATTTAAAAAAAAGCAAAAAAAAGTCTAGATTATATTTCAGAGCAGTTCAAACAAGATTTATGACAAAATTTATACTATGGATCCCATCAATTTTACTGTTATTTTTGTTGTTGTCCTTTTGAAACTGCAGCACAACAGAAGTGACCTTTGACCAACTAGCTGTTGATCTTGTTTACTTCTGTTCTGCACCATACCAAATTCCAGTGTTCCAGAAGAACTGTATAAGATTAGTGATAAGATATTCCATGAGTGCAAGTAATGGTTGTCTGTGAAGGCAACTGTAGTCCATAATAGTGGCTGGATAGGACTGTCATTTGAGTTATGGTCCTGTATCAATTCTGGTTCAGTTCAAAATGTAGACAAGATTTTAGGTGATGGCAGGATGCTTGGCTGTGGGTGAGCCTTATGTCCCTTGGCAAACTGTTTTTATCAGACTAAGTTATACACGTCAGTTCACTGTGGTTTTGAATGTGGTTCTCTCTGTCTCAATAGGGTTGGCCAAATTAGCTCAGACACTTACAGGTTAATGACCCTTTGAAAATTTGATTGAATTTTGAGCATTAAGTCTCAAAAAAAGTATGCAGCTTTATTTTAATTAGAGCTTTTCAGCACTGACACTGTTCTTTTACACTATGGTGATGAGCAATGCTTCTACTTGTTTAGAGTAGGTGTAATACAGCATGGCCATGTAACACCTGTGTTAAATTTTGTAGGCGGGGTCAAATCCCATCATTATAGTCAAGTCATTAGGTCATGGTGCTGAGTATGCCACATTGTTTAGGTTGATAACAGAAATGGAAGATTGTGATGGATGTGTGCCCCACCCTGCCAGTAATGAGTGGACGGTTGCACGCAGGTTGCCCTGTGCTGAAAAGCCTAATCTAAAGGGTCGTTGGTGGGCAGATTCCTGTGTTTTATGCCCCGGGGGCACGCAGCAGTTGCACGTCTGCATACAAACAACCTTGTGGATGCTTCATGTCAGTGTGAACGGTACCAAACTGTCCACTGCTATTTGCTCATCTGTTCAACACATTTGCAGGATTTACAGCAAAACTCACCGTGAACCTGCATGATGTTGGAATCTTTAATAGGCCAAGTCTTCTGAAGTTTTTTTTTTTACTCCTACTGGAGATATTTTTATCAATGTGTTGTGTATTTTTATTACTTCGTTGCACAGATCCTGCTGGGTTGTATTGTAGTTTTTGTGTGGTTATGTTTTGATAAACATCAGAACTGTTCCAGTAAAGGAAGAAGTAGGGCAGTATTGCAGGCGAGACTGGTGAAATATGGGATAGGTCATATGTGTATTGATTAGTCTGTGCTGGAGTCTGTGCAACCTGGATGATTTGAATAAATTATAGTCAATTTTTTCAAAAATATGCATAGTCTGGAAGGCATTCTGTGTCAAGTATGTTCTTAAACCACATAACCATTATATATTTTTAACCAAATTTGTTCTAATTTTTGGGAAGGCTCTGGTACACAAATAGCCAAGCATAACCCTAATTACCTGCTGTCTGTTTTCATGACTTGTGCTTCTCTCAACCAGGCAAAAAAAGCTGCACATAAAACCTGGTAATAATAAGTCTCTTCTGTTAGCACTGACATTATTCACTTTGTGTCCCTAAAATATTGGCAATAACTATTGCAAGTGAATTTTAAAACACTGGTTTATTCTGTGTCAATACAACGTACACAGGGCTTGAAATATACATTGTACTGGGTGCACATGCACCTCAGTGCAGGTAAAATTGGATCTGTACAGGTATTTCTGATGTCTACCAGCACCTAAATTGTAGTGGTCCATATACAAATGTAGGTGCATGTGGATTTTTATTTGCTGCATTCACTGTTACCACCTATAAAGTATAAAAGAAATAATGGTTTTCTGAACAGTTTTCATTATGATCCATACTTCTTGAAGTCTGAGTGGTGTAGGTATAGATATTTGTCTGGTGCAGGTAATAATTTGCACTGTTACCACTACTAGTGCAGATATGCAGAAAACATGTATTTCAACATCCTTGAAGCTGCTAGATATATAACAATAACCTACATTCAATGTTGGCATTGGTAAACTTTCAATGTAAACTAGTTAAGTCTAGTGGCTAGACACAGACCAGCTAGACTAAACCTTTGTTTTAAGTTGAACCACATGCACTAATTTTAAACTACTGTGATCACTGAAGGAGAAAAGGATGTGTTGTAATTTGAGACTGGCAGGCTCCAGTCAACTGTACAGTTGTTCAACTGGTTTTCACTGATGATTTTTAGTGTTGAAGAAAGGTCACTGACCTATCCTCACCTTGTTTACTACAGTGTACCATCAGAAAAAAATAATTGGAAGAAAGCCAAATAGGATCTGATATTCCCATTGTTGTTCATACAAAAATCTGACTGAATAATGATTGAAAGTAAAACTTACAGAAGTATGCTGAAAATGTCTTGCTCAATAGTGATGTCTAAATTGTTCTCAGCAATTTTACATTCCATAGTTTGTGTCAAACCTGAAATTAAACAAGTTCCCTTCTCTATTATGCTAGTGATACATGAGTGATGACTTAGACACCCAGTTCAAGAATTCCCCAGATCTTGTGCTAAGATATAACTTAATTTGAATCTCGAGATGGTTAGAAAAAATTCAAAATACTTTACAGTTGGTCGTTGTAGGTCAAAGGTCATGGCCTTTTTTTAATGTTTTATCATGTTCATCATGTTTACATACTTCACCCCATTTAGAATGAGTTGAAACAAGGAGAAGGACAATAATTATGTATAAATGTGTTTGTATGTTTTTAATTTCAGAAATTCAGACAATTCTAACTACATTTTGTAAGAAATTGAGACAGTAATGAAACTTCATGAAAGAAGGCTTATTTTTTTTAATGTAAGGTTTAATTATCTTGTAGATAATGAAGAAGAGTGTGGTGACCCCAGACTTTGAGCAGAAGCACAGCGTACCTCCTTACAAGGAAACTGTCAAGCAGATGAAGAAGAAAAGAAAGGTATTACAGCATTGTCTTGAAATGACATGACCTGACTCTATGTACATGTTGAATTTGTAGATAAAATTTCATTTACACTCTAGTACCAATGAAATAAGATTTCCAAAAAAATGTGTCTTTTTACACTTAAATTTTATAAGCGACATGTAGGGGGTAAGGATGACCCTAGATGGTACATAAATTAGGGTAGTTCAATAATTTTTTCCCTTTCAGGAGGAACGTGAGGCAACAACAGGCAGGAAATGGTTTGATATGAAGGCTCCTGAACTGACAGCTGAAACTAAGAATGATCTGGATGTGCTGAAGATGCGCAAGGTTTTGGACCCCAAAAGATTCTACAAGAAAAATGACCGAGAAGCATACCCCAAGTACTTCCAGGTATGTCTTTTTGTAATACGAAATAATAGACAAAATTCAGGTAAGGTTTATAGATTTAAGATAATTCATGGAAGATAATGAAAAAAAATTAAGTGTATTTTTTCTCTACAATTTTATTAAAAAAAAGGAAAATGATGAGAATAAATGTGGCCACCTTGGGAAATTAATTTGGGTCTAAGTTATTTTAAAGAACAATTTATGAAAAAAAAATGAGCTGAAAATTTGTCATTATATATTGTATGAAAGATGATATTTATACATGTCCATATATATATAAGCCTCTATGGGCACGTTCATATACATGAATACTACTTGCACACTTAGATGGGCACAGTGGAGGACAGCCCGGCTGAGTTTTACCGCTCACGGGTACCAAAGAAGGACAGGAAGGCAACCATCGTGGACGAACTCCTGGCAGATGCTGAATTCAGAAAGTAGGTATTTTGAAAGCAGCAGAATAGCTGTCACTGGGCTCAGAATAGATTGGTATAAATGACCACTTTTTAGTCATAACAGAGTTGGATATGTACTCAATATACTAGGAGTGAGGCTAGCAGTTACCCCCCAGTACATGATACCCAAACACTGATAAGAGGCTAGCGTTAGGTGGGGAATACAGCAGAAAATTTCATGATCACCATGACAAAAGGCTTTCTTCTTGCTTTTGACCTCATATTTGGCATTAATTAGTGTACTTTGTTAATCCCCAAATTTCCCATTGATATCTGTCCTCAGCTCATAACGTATTGAAATTAATTTGCATAAAAATTTTGATTTGATGACCTGTCACCTCAGCTAAATATCTCCACCTAAGCTTTGACAGGCGTAAATAATTACCCTAAATTTATTCAGGCAGCCATGATGATGAGAGTGGTTGTACCTACCCAAGGGGACCCATTTCACCAGCACCCCCTATCGGCTGGAGTTTGAATTGCAGGCTAATATGCAAGTTCTAGGCACTACTCATGTGACAAAAATGTTGAGCCTATTAAATGCCAAAGACTTCATACTTGCATCAAATACACATGTACTTGATAGTAGCTTTGTAAATTTTGACCTGGATAAGGCCACGGCAAATCAATTTCTTGTTTCTCTAATTTTGCCAGAAATTAATGGAGGGGACAAAACAGAAATGAAGTAAAAATTCAATTTCCCTCTATCTCTCAAGGTACAACAAGAAGAAGTACTCGGATGTTCAGGAGAAGCTGAGGAAGAAGCGCCCATCCGGAGCAAGTAGACACATGAAGAGACTGAAGAAACAGAAGTGATGATGAGGAAATGCCTGCTGGTAACGTGGTTCTGGATGGTTTCAACCCATCCTGGGAAATGTTGCTCCCATTTGGGCCATTGTCATTTTTCTAAAAGATATGTAGCCACATTCCTTGGAAAGGAGAGGACTGAGAAGCTTATGACTGAACAAAGAAAATGTATATCTTCTTGTAAATATATAAAAGTTGTCCTTTTTGTAGTACAAATGTATGTCGGGTACCTGTGGTCACTTTGTGCAGTGATGGTCTCTGCTAATCTCTTGTCATTTGCATTATCCGAGAATAACTGAACCCTAACAAGAAAGGGTAGCACAGCTGCATTGTTCAGGGTAGCAGTGGGCATATATATTTGAAAAAAAGGAAGTATATACAATGTGTTAAGGTTTCTGTCAAACTTAGATATGAATGCAGATTATCAATGCAATTGATATTTTCTATACTATATACCTTTGGATGGATATTTATTCCTATCTTGCAATTGTTCAACCAGAAAATGAGAAGTGGACAGGCATGATGATTACGTACGTACATTGTAGTGCGTTGAGGTATGTTGTTGCAGATCTTTGTGAAGAGGTGTTTTTTGCCAGGTCAGAGTGGATTTAAGTGCATTGAGTATAAAATAGCTGTCAAGATGTACATAGCTATCCTTCAGACGCAATGAGTGCTCATGGCAGAAACTTCCTAAAACCATCCTAAATGTATCAATATTTCTGTTAGTGCCATCAGATTATTAAAGCATTTTATAACACATAAATTCTTTTCCAACTTAAGTATGTGTTGCTATGTGCAATGATGTAGTGTTTGTTAAAGGGTAGGGGATTTTTCAGTTTTAAAGAACCACCACACAGCAGTAAAATAGCTTGGTTGATAAGTCTGTGTGCTCTATAGGACCTTTTTGGCTGGAATATGGCCAAAGTTTGTAGGGATTGGGCAATGTCTGCACAGTGCTATCAGGGTAAATTTGCTGTCAAAAAAATTCCCTAATTTTATGGTGGCTTTGAAATTGGCAACCATCTAGGGATCAACAAATTTGACCAAAGTTTGCTGACAGTGTGATGCTAGCATGAAGAAAAGGGTTACAACTGCATGGATGTGTCCAAGAATTTCCTGATCACTGTCCAGGACTTAGTGGTCATCTTCCCACTGAGCTCTGCAAATTAACCAGACTAAGTATTTTGGTTCTTAATAACACTTTAACTAACATACAAAATCATATATCAACATTGGTTACTTGAGTCACTCTGTTATGTTTTGTTTGATCACAAGTTTATTTGCCTTAAAGTTGGATTATTAGTTTTGTTTCGCTTATTTTCCATACCATTTTGAGTTTGCTGCATTGTACATAAAGTTGTTTTACTTTGTAACAGGTTTGAAAAGAAATAATAAAATTATCTCTATCAGTATGCGCCTCCATTTTAAGATAGTCATAATCATATATAATACAGGTAGCAAAATCCTGTATTAATAATCTTAGTTGTTCCCTGAGCTGACTGCATAAGTCTCCTTTGTAGGTTTTTACATGTGCAGGCCACCTAAAGGAATGAGAAAATCATTAGTAATGCCACAAACAGCTCATGTAAAGTCAGTAACAGTATGTACATGTACTTCTACATTGTGTAACATAGGACCATAAATATGATATCATTTTTAAGCATGCATATAAACAAGCAAAAAAAATCATCTGGACTTTTTCAACAGTTAAGTTGCAAGAGCTGTTGGTCATAGGGGTTACATGCCTCGAATTCAAAAATTCATTGTTTCTAAACCCGGTAAACATGATGTTAAATAACATACCAGCAACTTCAATACTTGCTCCTGTTATGTAACTGCTCTCATCAGAGGCCAGGAATACACAAACATCTGCTATATCTGAAAAAATATCCACAAGGTTTGAGCTGAAAATTGCCATTTCACCATCTACCACAAAAATCAAAATCATTATTTCAGTCCATACATGGTAAGAGTGGGGGAGGGGGGAAGATATGAGGAAGGGGAATAGTGGGAGAGATGATTTTTAGGAATATGATGAATTTGCTCCCGAGCAAATGTGTGTCTTCTAGATAAACTTAATCTTCCTACCTGATGGCTTCCCAAGTCTGCCAATCGGGATAAAATCTCTGAACTGTAATGGGAAAGATAGATGTAAAACTCATGCTTTGCACAATATGGCTATTGAATGATGCAGGCTAATTTTAAACTAATCAAAATGGTTCTTTCATCAGACTCTGGTACAGCATCCGTTACTGGTGTTTTAATCTTACCAATTGAAATGGTAATATCTCACCTTGTCCAGCACTTTCTGTGGTACAGCATCAGTCATTGGTGTTTCAATAAAACCAGGCAGGATGGCATTACATCTGATTCCAAATCTACACAGCAAAAGAATAAGACAGTGAAAAATTCTCCACAAAGACTGATCCCTAAATTTGCTGTGGCAAAGTACTTGAATAAAAAAGGGCAATACAACCTATCAAGAAATTCCACAACCACATGACAATACATTGTACATGTATACAATAGCTTTTTTAATGCCTGTAGGCATAGGTCATACAAGCTGTATCATCCTCACTTGGCTAGTTCTTTGGCACTTGTCCTTGTGAGTCCCTCGACTCCAGCTTTAGAGGCAGCATAGTTACACTGACCAAGGTTTCCAACCTGCAGTTAAAGGAACAATTTTCAATCTGAAGACAAAATGGAAATCTATTGTACCATTGGTACATACAGTAACACATAATATCCAACCGATGCCTATTTCAAGGCTTTTGTCTGGTCACACACTCCTTCTATGTCCTCAGGTCCAACCTCACCTTGCCAACAATGCTGGCCATGTTGATGATGGAACCATTTGGTACTTTGCCCTCCACCATAGCCCTGCCTACTGCCTGGGTTATCAGAAAGGTACCCTGAAATACAAGAAAAGCATTCTTTGATCATACGCCAATCATAAACCTTTGGCATAACCATCAGCCATAACTTGACAAGCCCTTATCACACAACATCAATTCAGGAAATACATCTCACTTTAATACAATGTTAACGATTTTACCTTGAGATTAACTTTGATAACTTGATCAAACATTCTGTTGTCCATTTTTAAGAGGAACTCATCCTTGGTGATTCCAGCACAGTTTACTGCGATACAGGGAGCACAGGAGAATTTCTGGGTAACGTCGGTCAACAGTCGACTGACAGACTGGGTGGAGGACACATCACAACCAAAGGCATGATGCTCCGAGCCTTGGTCACATGACAGGGACTGGAGCGTCTCATTGGCTGGTGCTTCATTGATGTCTACCACGGCAACCTTTGACCCCTGGGCTGCAAATGCCTGACAAACTGCTCTGCCAATGCCACTGCCTCCACCTGGTCAACATGGGGATACTAGATCATATTACATGTATGCATGAAACAAACTAATGCAAACTATTAAATACAAATGTAGCAAAATTTGAATAAATTATTGTCTTACACTAAGGTACAAAAAAAAATCAATGTCCATACGTAACCCTAACTAGTATTTTTAAGATGTCCCCCAAAGTCCTCAGACACACTTCCACCTTAAAAAGTACAATGTAGTATTAAACCAAGGTGGTTCTTCATTGAAGTCGACCAAATTCTAAATTCCAAAAGTCTATACATCCAGAACCTTTAGTTGCATTGCTAATTGCATTGCTCATTGCTGTAAGCCTGTAACCTTACCATGTGACCAGTGCTGCGCTACACTTAAATCATCCTGGATCTGAGGATCTTTTAGATTTTTGTGGGGGCTGGTCCTATAAAAGGAGGTCAAACTTTGAAATCAGAACCTGGGGCACAGGACAAATCACAAAAATGCAGTCTCATTATGACTAACACTTAAATGCAATAAATGCTACAATATGTTGAGATGGTTTTATTACAGCTATGATCACCTGTAACAAGTGCCAACCGTCCGGCCAAACGTCCTGGAGCAGCCGCCATCTTGTCCCGTCGAAACTTAACCCTGTCTGCCAATGAAAGACGTCGTCTGATGTCTGACCAATAAGGGAACAGGTCTCATTTCCCACCCGCGAATTTCGAAGATATGTTCACCGTTGTTTGTGGTAGTTTGTTTGTGAGTAAACGAACCAAAATTGAGAAGTTTGGGATTATAGGCATTTGGAGAAGACGGGATCATCATATCCATAATATCTAGGTCCTTGTTCATAAAGGTACTGTATCATATGCGTACCGCAGTAAAGACTCCCTGTAGTTCTGATTGGTTCCGATAGATGACGCCCATATGAGAAGGATTTGGTTCACAAAACTCAATCTGCCACCTGTTACGTCCTGTCTACAAGTCTGGCCTTTGAGTGGAGCAAAGTGAAACCTTCGGCTGGATGGGAACTGTAGAATTCCAGTTTGGGCCGTTCTTCAGCTGATAACTAGATATCTCTGGTCTCATGTAGACTATCCAACGCCCTGAAGTTGTACATCGATGCGCACTACAACATTAACAATGACGGTGCAATTTTGACGACATACCTGTAATGCCATTTGAATGACAGTCCTTCTATACCATCCAGACAAGTCTGCAAATAGTTAGCTGTGTGCAGAGTGCATGTCCCTGCAGACAAAAACTACTGGTGTACACACATCTGTTGGAAGGCAAAATCGTCACGTTTTGCTACTTCTCTAGCTTAGTTCATAGGACAATGTTCTTTATAATAGTCCACTGCGAGCTGCGAAAATGTGAGCGAAACTCTTTACCAAAACAGCTGTGGCAGCAAGAGCAAAATGTGTACCACAAGAACATGTTCGTCACATTCAATACAAATGGTTGTCAAACTGCATTGTCTGGTGTGCTCAACACGTTGTTGTTCACAGGTCAATGAAATGTAATGATCCAATCCCAGCTGACAATCAAAATCAACAGTACGACCTGTAGGACGATACCGGGATGTGTTGGGCATTGGGATTGGTTCCCTGCCTCACAACAACATTTTATTTAATCTCCATGTTTTGTTTTCACTATGAGATATTTCTAAATCCCTGGTATGTTTTTGTTACATGTGATAATGTGTGATTTCACTGCAATTATCTAAAAAATCATCTGCATGTTTGCTGTATAACGTGTATTGTGTTTTCAAATTCATCCCAACAGCGCTTAACGTTATTTTCAATACATCATATAATTGCGAAAAAAATAAGCTATAGATCAAAAGCTCATTATAAGACTAGACATCTATTATTCCGTAAGCCATCCATTCAGATCTGCAGGCCCAACCTTTTGTTTCCTTTGTCCAGCAGAAGTATGCGGGTCGCTATTAAGGAGTGCCTAAATATATAATGTATTGTCATCCTCACAAGGGGCTGCCTAGGCTGTAACAACTATAGTCTATTGAGACATCTGTTTTCCTTCTTGTTCTTTTTTAACACGCTTTGACTGCTCCCATCGTGTTTCTTCTCATCCTACCTTTCATGATAGATAGTTTTTTCCCTTCATAGTGTGATGTTAATGCAGCGCAGGCATTCTCAGTACAAAGTTAACGTAGGCTCGATTTTGCCTGTCAACATTTCTCGTTGCCTCTGGCTACATCGAAATATTCAAACCTTCGTTCGCCGGAGAAAGTCGCCCCTTAGCAACTCCCTGGTGCTGAAGGCCGGTTGTTGCCCGGGGTTGTTCCGAACCGCGCGATTTTATCAGGCTAATTCCGTGTACTAATCAAACGTCATTGTGCCGCGCGTGTAAGTGGGTGGATTCATTTCATCGTTGCCGCATCGACATACAGTACTGTACATCGTCGTCATGGCAACGCGCATCATAGTTTGGTAACCATAGCAACTTAGGCGGGTCTGCTGCTAGGCGCGGTGCGTTGGAACACGTCGAACGTGCGTACGTGCGCCTGCTGGACGTTGACATTTAAATACCGGTTCGATTCGTCCTGAAGCTAGGGTTACGTTCTTTTTGTTTGGATTTGTTGCCGTCATGGCAGCGTGCCTAGTGACTTCAGCCGCTCTGTTTACTATGTCGTAAAACAGCCGCATCTTATAGCGTAAACAAAACGGGCGCTCATGTTACCGAGGGGGCTGACACCTGGGTGGCGACACTGACTCGACAGAAATGCCGAAGTACAGGTACTTGTTCCTGCTGGTGCTGGTCATACTCGTGCCGTCCCTGGCTACGGTAGGGCTGGTACAGGACAAGTCAGTCGACATCCATACCGCCTGGGCGCTGGCTCTCATCGGGGACACGTTCTGGTCCACACCATGGCAATGCCCACCTGTAGGTCAACTCGCCCTGCTAGCCGTTGGTGTTGTCATAGCTGCATGGCTTTACCGGCTTCTGTTGTGCCCATTGAAAATCAGCCGGACACTTCACGATGTCGGGTATAACCAACAGGCCGGGTACAGCCGCAAGGACGTCGCGAACGACGTGCGGCGGCGGCGGCGGAGAGGCGAGCTGCCCCCGGTCTACCCTAACGGCTGGTTCAGGCTGATGGACTCATGTCAACTCCGACCCAACCAAGTGGAGGGAGTCACAGTGCTCGGTAAGGCTTATTACATGTTTGAGTTTCTGTGTCATGGTTTGTGCAGCTCTTTGTACAGACGTATCAACGCACTCTATGCTTCACCAACATAAAGTAACCGTGCAACTTTTACATGTAGCGTTATACACCTTACATGTTGTTCTTCTGTGACCCTCAATAGAATTTTCAAGAATACGTGTGGATGGAGGGCGTATATATATTTCTAAAGGAGTAGTCCCCGTATACATTGTCAGTGTGTCTAAGTGTGTTAACCCGTACTACTGAGAACAAAGACCAGGGGTTAACCACAGCGTGATCCATTTTCAGCGCTCTGTTGCACCTGTAAAGACAACGAGTCAGTTTGGCTTGGGTTGCCAAAGTAATTTCAGCAATACACCAATTGTACCGGCACGTCCATACCGAGATCGTGCCGGCACACACGTCCAACAGACCAATAGTTACGCTTTGTTTATTCCGGAAGGCGCCATTCTGAGTTTCGTTAGGGTGTGCCGTGTAACTGTGGCTACTGTCAACACGCGTGTATTCAGCGTGAGGAATAGTGATCAATGCGTCCGAAAACAAGCCCTGACTGACGATTAACGGACACTAAACCCATGATCTGCTAAACACAATCCAATATCCAGGGCGGTACCATTTGAAAAGCCCAGGGGCACCAAGATACTAATCTCCAAGCAGATCCTTCGGTGGCAAAATAGTACTAGTAACGAACTCCTAGTATAAGTAATAGTACTAGTATCCAATTTGCCAGGTAGTGCATATCAGCCACCGGTTTATAATACAAGAAACGTGCTTTTAGTATTACATGTACGCAATTATCCACCAAGACAATTTTGCTCCCTGCATTGGACTCTGGACTTATGCTAAGCTTTTTAATCTGCATGTTTTAATTCTATAACAGTGGTGATGAATTAGGTGGGCGGGGCCTCACAACCCAAAAGGGGGAGGGGCCCTGGAAAATCAAAGTGAATGGGCGTGGTCTTCAAATCTGTTAGTTAGAATATTGGCCATTGGAAGAGAATGTATTCCATTTGGGGTTATCTGGGGCCATTAGAATAGAGATAGTATTCCATTTAAAGTCATCTGAGGTCATTCGGATGTTCCAATACAGAAATTAACTTACAGTTGGGGGGGGGGGGTAAAAATTTCGAACGTGACGTGGCAATCCAATGAGATCTTAATTTCAAAATGTTTACAAACAATTTGGGTTTCGAAAAGTTTCGAAGTAACAGCAAAACATGATTTTACAGGAGAGAAGCTTGCGGTGTTCCGGAGTGCTGCCGGGAGTGTGTCGGTGCTGGACGCCTACTGTCCCCACCTGGGGGCGGACCTGGCCGTGGGAGGACAGGTGGTGGGAGACTGTCTGCAGTGTCCCTTCCACGGCTGGAAGTTCAGGGGAGAGGACGGCAAGTGCATGGGCATCCCGTACGCAGAGAAAGGTGAGGAGATATTTAGAATGCTTGTACATTTTTATGCTAGATGTTTTAATGTACATAATGCACTGTACATAATATTTTTGAGCCATTTTTTTTGTTCATGAAATTACACTGTGTAATATTGTATTGTATTGTATTGTACTGTATTATTGTAGTGTCAGGGATCGAGAGAAACTTGCAAAAGTGTTGAATCCAAATAAATAAATAAATAAAGGAAAAAAAGATGTCTGTCACGTATCCCTTTCAGAAAAACTTTATTAATTCTATTTTACTTATTTTTCTCTATTCTATTTCATTTCATTTGATCAAGCACACCATATCCTATGTACATTGTCCTTCATTTGATGTATTCAATTTCATTTATACCTTGTTTCATTTTGCGTATCTATAATTTTATTGTGTTTATTCTATTTCACTCTTCCTCTTCACAATTTTATTTTATTGCAACAGTCTAATTGTGTATTTACCTGCGAGCATTGTTGCCAGATAAGAATGTAATTATGGGCCATTCAGTCCTAACTATCTTCTACATTATCAGTTTATTGTGTGTAATAAACGTATTGAACGGCCACACCTATAATCAACGATTATTGTAGTCCTTGTGTAGTTCTAACGAAGTATTCTACATGACTGTGTACATCATTAGTTCCTGACTTCGCCCGTGTGAAGTCGTGGCCGTGTCTGGAGAGGAACGGCTGTATCTACATCTGGTACCACTGTGACGGGATCGACCCCACCTGGACACCGCCCGTCATCGACGAGATCGCCTGCGGGGACTGGACCTGCCGCGGCACCACCGAGCACATCATCAACGCACATATCGAGGTATTAAAACAAAAATATAATAATCAACGCACATATCGAGGTAAACACAGACCCCAGTAAACTGTTAACATCATCAACGCACATATCGAGGTATTAAAACACAGAATTCAGTAAACAGGTAAATACAGAGTTCTAGTTCTGTAAAATGTTATTTTCTATGGCAGTGTGTTGAATATTGGACGAAGAAATCGGCTATTTTTATTTTCAAATAGGTCATTTCTTCGTTCAGTATTCAACACACTGCGACGGAAATTACTGAATGTTAGTTTGACAGATACTGTGCTTGTATGAAAAGGTCCTTTGAAATTAGACGTGCCCGTAGACGGTGCGTTATTGCTTTATTAGAATCTTATAAACCAACATGATTGATCATCAAAGATGCATCAACCTCCTCTCTATATTCTATTGCGGATGTCGTGTGTAGCCACATGGTAAATGCATTACCAAAGCCCATGTTGGGGCGGAAGAGGTCACAATAATATAAGTAGCATCCACTACTTTTCGTCAGTGACGTGCAATGATACAACTGTAGATGCCTACGTTGATGTTTGTAACTTTTTCCACAGGAGGTTCCAGAGAACGCTGCGGACATCGCTCACCTGAACTACCTGCACGGCCCGCTGGTGGCGGCTGGGGTGGACCTCTCCAGCATCTACTCCTCCGCCTGGGACTTCGCCAAGCACGTGTGGCGGGCGGAGTGGCAGCCGGACCCCGCCCCTGACGCGCACATCAGCACCATGCACACCCAGCACATGGTGTACCTGTTCGGACGGAAGGTCTCCATCGCAGACATCAAGGCTACTGCCCGACAGGTCAGTGACATGCAGGCTGACACACGTTAGTATATAGTAGAGGGGATTCATTCCTCAAGCTACCCACATACCGAGAACTGCGTGTGCAAGATGTCGGTTAGCTGAGGAATGAATCCCCTCGAATTCACAATGCAGGCTGCCACACGTTAGATTTGACTTGACAGTTTATGTGCTGTAATTGAAGCATATCAAGTACAGCAATTATAGTGTTAAGATCGAAATAGATCTTGCTGGAGCAGGAACTACTTGAAAAGACACCGTGCTAAACCAAGTAAGTCCCCGCCAGGCCTTCTATGATCTACGGGGTACGGATTGCAGAATTCGGCAAAAAGGAAATATTGGCCGGTAGATTCAGTCCTAAGAAGGGGGCATGGGGGCCGGGCCAATTAATTCCACGGTGGCTAAACTCCCCTGGTCAGTTATATAATTATATTCTCCCTATCTGGGTAAATTTTACTTTTTTTGAACCCACGTTAACGTTGTTAATCTGACGAGGCTACTGAAAAGAAACGTCCTTTGAAGTCCGAAATGCCCAGATGTACATCTTTGAAGTTTACATTTCTTGAGAGTTAACGTTGCTGTGTCCTACCCCAGGTCGGACCTGGTATCGTGTTCCTGTTCCTGGAATCCGCCTTCGGTAACTTCATGTTGGTACAGTCCATCACGCCGGTGGAGCCGCTGCTACAGAGGTTGACCCACAGCGTGTACACCGGCCGCTGGGTGCCGACATGCCTTGCCAAGTTCCTCCTCTGGGGGGAGTCTGTACAGGTAACAACTTACCAAGGAGTGTTTTTACATACTAGAAATGCAATTCAACTTTTGCTAACGAAGATCTATGTTGATTAAATTTCATCCAAATACGATGACAAAAATATTAAAAGATAATTGAGTGATGTTTACTATTCTTATTGTCTCCGTAAATTCAATAGTATTATTAATTTGGACTTCCATTATAGGAAGGGCTTTTTCATTGAAATGTTAAGTTGGAGTGGATTGAATTCTTTTATACAATAGGCAGATAGAAAGAGCCGGGTGCCATCCGTTTTGTAACGGGGCTCCTTGTACTCGCTACCCCGTTTTTTCGAGTGCAAAAACGGATGGCTTCCAGGCTAAGTCAGAAAGAGATAAAACAGTACTAGTACATTCCACTGAATTCCCATTATTACCACCAGGTTGAGAGAGACATCATGATCTGGAACAACAAGTGCTACGTGCCCAGACCGCTGCTGGTGCGGGAAGACTCCAGCATCGCCCGCCACCGCCGCTGGTACGCCCAGTTCTACAGCGAGAACAGCCCCAGGTTCAAGATAGAGAGGAACAGTCTGGACTGGTAGATGCCGTCTGCAGGGACGCTCTACTTCAGAAGTTGACACCTGTGGGGAGGTCAGGAATAATCTCCAAGCAGGTCACAGGGTGGCAAAAGACAGTATCAAATTGGCCAGGCAGTATCCATTCGCTTGGCGTATGGACCCTCTCTGGCGAATGGATGCTGCCTGGCCAATTTGAAGTAGTCTTTTGCCACCCTAGGATCTGCTTGGAGATTAGTCAGGAAAGGATCCCATACCATTTCCCATTCAATCTACAAAACTAATTTCGCTGAGAAGATCAGAATATTTTTTCGTTGCCCCAGGATTGTTATGTGTCAGACATGTCTTCATGAAAAGTTTCAGAACGTTGCGATCTTAACTCCCAACGTCTGCTTTATTATATTTGAGGTCATCGATATCGTTCGGTATAATGAAGAAGCTTTATTGATGCAACACAGAGTATGATCCTCTATTGCCAATTGACCCACCACTCCCTCCGTCAACTTTTGAAGCAGAATCGCTGTTAAGACATATTCGAATTCCAAGACAAAGATCATAAGGGGGAAGGCAGGACATCGCTAGCCTGGTATCCATACCATTCCAGCACCGGTTCACCCCTCCGATCGCTTCCTTGGCAATGGACTGGCATCTGTTAAAAAGAGGACCTTTTTTTCGTTTAGAAGATAATTATAAGGAGAGCTTTCATTGGCTCATCGTGTGGGATCAGTTACCGTAACGGCTACACTGCCCACAAACTAAGATCCCATACCCGAAATAATCACTGACGTAATGGCCAACCTACTGCATGGGAAAGAGTTCTTACATATAGCGGACCGAATTTGAAGCTAGCTATATGTATGGAATAATATGGAATCCAAGGCTGGTGCCTTGCCATCATGTTTTGTTTGTTAAGACCACTGATAGTAACATTTTCCTCTTGTCCCCCATTACGAAAACTTTGGAAGCGCCTATCAATGCAACACAACATGTCTGTTGTCACCATGTGATATGACATACATGTACATGTATGTAAAGATCTATATTGTACAAAGACAGATTTTTATACCGTTTGCTTGTTTTGTTTTTCGCTTGCTTTGCTTTTTGTAATGTGTGATTATACTATGATTTACAATGAATTTGACTCGTCAGAGATCTCGAAAAGTGAAAAGTGTGGAAACTCTTTCATGACTGATTTAAAAGACCTATGATTTGGTACAGATTTTAACGTTATTTTGCAGCGTCTTTGTGGTTCGCCTCTCCATGGTAGAAGAGTCCATGACAGCCAAATATAGATTATAGTGAATGGACTTTTGTTGATGTTTGATATCTTTATTTTCTAGTGTCATTGAGTAAAAAAGTGTGAGATTTTTTTTTACCGAAAGTTATGTGCAACATGTGTGAATAAATGACATGTTCCCCTCCAAACGAGTCCATCATGCTTTCATGCATGTTCTCAGCTTTTTGCTACTACTGTAAAGTTAAAGCAATAGTCAACTTCAACTGGAAACATTTCAATGAGGTAAACAGAGATAGAATGAAAAAAAGTTGCAAAGATGGCGTGCCATGATAATTATTAAATAAGAAATGCATATTACTTGTGATATGCTAAAATCTAGATAGTCTGTGTGTGTATTCAGTCACAAAGCATGGCAAAGAGCCGGGGGTGTTGGTGACTCAATATTTTAATGTTTCCATTTCAGTTTACAATAAGCAAAGCTTAGGAGATTGTACAAAAGGGTAACATTTTCCTTGTAATGGATCAGGTTGATATTGTTTGGTAATACATTGTACAAATGTAGTCAAAAAGCATGACCAAAATATAATGTTTAGGCCAGAACAAAGATCAATGTAAACATATACAATATATCAAAAGTAAAAGTTCCAAGATGATACCAGTTGTATATTACACAGCTCCAATGTTACAACTTCAAGAGCCAGATCGTAGATACATTAAGTCTAACTACTCATGAAACAAGATTCTGGATGGGGTTTTTGAATGAAGGATTGAGCAAAATATAAGGTAAAAACATATATACAAAAAACAGTGCTGAAACACAGTGGTTGAACAAGTTCTAAAGAACATGGATCATTGGAATGCCTGGACTCACTTGAACAAAATGTGTTGTGATAAGAAATAATCATACTTGAAATAGAACATATATTAGAACAATATATAAGTACAAAACAGGCAGTGAAATTTAAACTTATTCAAAATAAGCTCCAGACTAAAAGTAACAAACAACATGCATGGAAATAGCCAGTTATGCAGAAATAGCATCACATATGATAATGAATATAATCAAATAAACTTTGAAAATATAGGAACCAACATTGAGTAAACAATACTTAAGAATAATACAACTGGAAGTACATTTTTTTTAGAAAATATAAAAATGTAGCTGTAAAACTGACCTTAATTATATAAGTTTCCAATAGAACCTTGAAATGAACCATATGATAGAAAATAAACATGTCTAAAATATAGCTTTTTCAACAAAACAACCCAAGTTCATGGAATTCTTGTAACTGTGCATACAAAGGCCTTCAAAAAGGTCAAATTCATGAGATTCAGTTGGAATCAACCAATGAAGGTGACAAAAAAAATCAGTATAGGAGCAAATTATCCAATGAAGACACTATTTTTAGAAAAATGTCGCATCCTAGGACATCAGTAACTCATAGTATCTCATCTATAATAATAGTTTTTCATATGAGGATATCTGTTATACATCAAGTTGAAAGGAAGGGAATTGGCAACAAATGTTCGTTTGGCACAGCAATACATGGCTTTGCAACACAGCAATATATATAGATATATCTATATGTACAACAGTTACTGTACTTAACAACAGCAATAAATACCTTTTATCAACAGCAAATACTTACAGCAAACACGTCAGACGTTTTTCTATTCTACGTACTGTGTCAAATACTAATGTTAATACTTGAACTAACTACCTAAACATTGATGGGACAAATCTGGTTTATTGAAGTCCACAGACCTTAGATCTAGAATTTTTGAATTTTTTACCGCATGCAAGAGGTATATGGGTATAATGGCTTGACATTGTAAATACAGTCTTATATGTAAGAAGTTTGTGATGATAAATATCTAGGGGACAACCTGTTTCTACACTACACAAAATGAAATATAAACCCATAAACCCATTTGTTGAGTTATATGCCCCTCACATGAATGCTTTCAGTGTAGTCTTTAGCTAAGGATGTACTGTACACATACATGTATGTATCACATGAATGTGTGATCATGAGATGAAAAAAATTCCAAAAGAAGAAAGTTTCAAACTAAGGCTATCCTACAGTGTATACTGTCACAAAGCTGTCTGGATTTTAATGATTCAGAATCTTTATCTAAAATCCAATCCAAACCAATTGCATCTATTCATGTGCAACAAGCTCCTTAAAACTGTCATGTACTGTCATGTACTGTTGCTGGCAAGATGGATAAAACAACAAACAACATAAAACAACATCCTAGCTAAATAAAACACTATAAGTACTCTTCTTGCCTATTTTAACCTTCTCTGTGCTGCCTCAGCCATGACTAACAGAGAATAGATAGCCACTTCAGCATGCTAAAGCTTGTGAGATCAGTGGAATAGTAGTCTGATATTGTAGAAAACCCTGGTCTACAACAAACTGGCATGGTGTCTGGTAGTCTGTCCTGTATGTGGGCTACTATCAAACAAGCAGGAAGGACCCAACATATGCTACAAGACAAGGTGTCCTAGAAACAATAGGACAAATTTTTCTTTACATAACCTCCATTAACATTTATCTTTCAGGTTACAAATGTACAAGCATCTGCCTGTTTGAGATAAAAAACAGAAAAACATCATTGTTTGAGAGACCTTAAGAGCAGCACCCCATGGTATAGAGTTTAGATATGCAGGAGTGCGTTATACTGAGGGCTGTTGCATTGGAGATCTCTTTTTCCATGGCAACAGATATATGTTACCTAGCAGACAGTTCAACATACGTAGCACAATGTAGCGACTCTGTCCTGTTACTCTAGTGACTCGTCTATCTCGTAGAACATGGACCTGATGTCCAGGGTGGAGGCCAGGTCCAGCAGCTGTTTCTGCACCGTCAGAGCCTCCAGAACCTCGTTCTTCGGCAGCTCAGGGTGACACTGGGGGTAGTACGCAGGGCCCTGGGGAACAACACAGCACAAAATGAAACACCTTTTACAGACAAGCAAAAATATGACCATGAAGGTTAATCTGTGTTGGTAGTTACATGTTAAAAGTGAAGCTTGAGATCAAACACAAATAAATTCTCTTACCTAGAGCTTTTGTCCAGCCACTCTGGTCTTCCTCAGAAGACTGATCCAGTGAGACACATGGCCTCTTTGAAGTGTACATGTGACGTCAACACTGGGCTGACATCGTCTACCAGATACCTTTGACCCTGTGTTGATGTCACACTTCAGAGAAGCCACGTGACAAGTCTCACTGGGTCAGTCTACTGAGGAAGACCAGAGTGACTGGTTGAAAGCTCTAGGTGAGAGAACTTCTTTGTGTTGGATCTTTCACTTAGTAGCTTACTTACATGTAGTTTGCAATCAACATGTGCTATAAAGAAGATATCATGCAGTTAGAAAGTTATGAAACAATGACTGGTTCTTGACCAAAAATTGCATAACTTTGTAGTATAGGTATTTAATGTACATATATGATATGACTAACATCTGAAGTGTGTGATCTGACCTTGAAGGCCCTGTGCAGTCTGAAGACGCAGTAACAGAACACAAACCGCAGCAGCAGCAGCCGCAGAAACTCATCTCCATAGAACTGGAGATACATCCCGTCTGTAACACACAGGAGAAAAATCAAATTCTTATTTCTTCAGATTTCTGCAAGAAGATCATGCCTAAAACTTTTATCCAGACTTACAGTTATGAAATTCCTCTGGGGGATTACCCCTCGTTTGAAAATAATCCACATATAACCTACCCAAGTTACTCACCAGTGGAGTCACCCACCAAAATTTCTTAACCATGATGTAACTTACCCTTGTCCCTTAGCCAATTGCCAAATAACTTACTAGTACTCACATTCCTCACCCATAACTCACCCACGTTCCTCACCCATAACTCACCCATGACTCACCCACGTTCCTCACCCATATGACATAACTCACCCATGACATAATTCACCCATGTTCCTCACCCATGTCCCTCACCCATGACACAACTCACCCATGTCCCTCACCCATGTCCCTCACACATGACACAACTCACCCACATTCCTCACCCATGTCCCTCACCCATGTCTCTCACCCATGTCCCTCACCCATGACACAACTCACCCATGTCCCTCACCCATGACACAACTCACCCATGTTCCTCACCCATGTCCCTCACACATGACATAACTTACCCACATTCCTCACCCATGTTACTCACCCACGTTCCTGCAGCCCATCAGCAGTCTGGCGATCTCCTCCAGGATCCTCCCCACCTGCCTCTGGGCACGCTCCCAGGATGCAATGGGAATGTCCGACAGCTTACAGATGGTGAGGAGGCCGGTCAGGGGGCAGTGTAGGAACAGGGTAAACAGGCTGCCCTTCGCTATCTCATCTGGGTACGGGGTAAAACAATGTATGACAGCAAATCAGATATCTTAAATCAGTTATCTTAACCAAGCCATGGGGCTGAACATAAATTGCATTGAGGCCAGCATTTAACTTAAGTGATGAAAAAATTCACATTATAGTGTATACTTGATCATCATAATAATGTTGAACTTCTTAAATGAGCCTTTATATTTGTTTAAAGTCTAAATCTTACCTACAACATCCGTAGGAACAGCAACAGGAGAGAGCAGACACACCCGAGGCTGGCCAAACAGGTTGGGCATGTTCTGGACAGAAATGTACATACAGACGGACTTGTCATTAGTTCTAGGGGTTTCATACCTTCCTTTGTTGTGTGACATATATTGTTAGTACTAGTTAAAGGAAAATGTTGTATTATTTTGTACTCTATTCTTTATTTTTCACGTAAATCATAAATACCAAATACACAAGAAGAGTGTGCTGAGGGAAGGCATAGACCAATTTGGTACATCCGAGGCACTCCCCCTATCAGAGATACAGGCTAAATGGTGTTCTTACCTTGAACACTTCACTGTTCTCACTGTCCACCACCAGGAACAGAGGTTTCCTTGTGAAGGGGTACAGGTCACCGGGGTGGAGACTACACACAAACAACAGGGGAACAACATGTCATGTGCTCTTCAAATTCAGACAAACGGTAGTGATAAAAGACAGGCTACTGTCAAAAGTACATCCCATCATGAAAACATCCGTAACAAAATCATTTCCAATATATCTAAGACTGTATTTTGTAACACTGCATGACTACTGGCAATTCTATATTGCTCAAGGGCACACTCACACTCACTAGCCACGATAGGTAACTTTAACTTTGTTCAGTTGGTTGCCATTTGTTCAGTGGATAAAGTAAAATCTTTACGTACCAGTGCATGTCCTTCAGCAGCTTTGACTTCTTCATAAGCTCCTCCCCCTCCTTCCTGCTATTGGTCAGCACCCCGCCATAGTCATATGCACCTGGGAGGGTCGAACCATTGGGGATGACAGGGGTGAACATTTCATTTTTCTGACATGCTGTCATTATATGAAGTCAAGATGACGTGTGATGATGACAGAGCATTTCACTCTATTTGAAAAATTGATACAACACTAAACATTATGTACATGTATGTTAGTAAGCAATCTGCTGTATGACTAATGAACTGTGCCATACCTTCATCCTCTGGTTTAGAGCAGCCTGTGGACCCAGTAGAAGACAGATACACCAGCATAACTCCATCAGGGGGCAGCTCCTGACATACACACAAAAACTGGGTCAGAAAAATCATATCATAGACATTTTTCATTTTTCAGGAAGACGATAAAAATGGCAAATTGAAAATTTGAATCAATTTTTTCTGCGCACCTTGAATCCTGAAGCCAGGAAAGTGTAGAGTTGACTGAATGTGGGTTTGTACAGAAGGTACTTGTGTGGGTTCTCTCTCTTTCCTGGGGCATTGTCTTCACTCTGTATAGGGAAGTATAGTTAACCCATGTACATATAGCACAAGTATAAGCACAATAAGCAAAATCAAACAATTATTTAATGTTTTGATAATAAATTCTGAGGCCATAGGAAGGCAAGATGTAAGAAAAACAATTTGGTGAAGTGTAGTTGTTTTTGTTGTTGTTTACCTCCCCTGTTTCCCCTTCCTTCTCTGGTTGAGCACCATTAGCTGCCTGCTCCGTTGCATCGAGGCCCTCTGGCTCCCGCTCCAATGTCTGCAGCATCCTGAACATGTCCACTGTCAGCTCACTAAACTTCACCTGTAGGTACAACGTAGGACAAAACATACTTATTCAAGATGAGGGGGGATACTAGTGCTTAGTCACATATGGGGTCACATCCTTTCCACTACAGCATCACCTAGCAGTGGAAGTTGGTATTGCAATGTAGAACGAATACCAAAACATTGCCTGATGAATACATGTATCTATTGGTTGAGTAACTTTGTTAGCCATTTGGTTCTTTACCATTCACTACGAAACAATGTCAGTACTGTTATGTACGGTTTTTAAAGGCCATTAAAGCCATGCAAATTTTTTTCTTCAATATGCCACTATTCACCAGTCACTTGTTACTAACAAAACATATGTCATGTGCAAACCCAGAAATGGGGCTAAGCAGTAAGAAAGAAGAATAACATATCATATATGACACAATGTAACAGTGGGGTTCAAGTGCCACCAACTGACCTGTCTGACAGGTCCAGATCTTTTAACCTAGTGGTTGGTGCTTCAGGTTATTGAGCTGGCGGCCTGGGTTCGATTCTCCAGAGCCAGGGGTTTTTGTGTTTCTTCTTGTCCTTTAAATATTTCAATAATACTAACCTGGTCCTTCCTGTTGCCCACAATGATGACCTCCTGTAGAGACAGCCTGACTTCAGTGCCTGGTTCCAGCGGCGGCACGGTGTCCTTCTGCAGGCGCTGGGATATTGTGACCGGGGACGACTCTGTGTCCAGGATGACCAGCGGCTCGGCGTCCAGAAAAGCCTGGACCTCCCCCAGCACCAGTGACCACTCCAACTGGTCACCAGGGTCGTATGTGCTCCCATAGTCTTGGATTTGCTTGGACAGCTCCTTCAAGTAAAACATAGCAGAAAACGTCTCTGAGTCAACATATTGTAAAATATTTATTTATCTTAAGCTTGAAGGCTACATTTTTGGTGACTTTGGAAAGACAGCAAATTGGCAAGAAATTATTAAAACATCAGAATGATATTTCACAATATCAGAAGCTGCTTCAATTTGAAAAATTAAGCATATAAAACCCTTAATAATTAAACTATTGCCAAATGTTCCTATTTCAAGGTACATGTACATTGTATGTCCATAAGGGATGTTTAATAAAAGGTCAATAGAAATGTCAACTTTATACTGTTATTGCATGGAAACAGGATTTGATATTGATTTTATTCTTTTTATAGAAAGATACACATTGTGACATTTTATATAGTATGTGGTTGATATGTGACATTCAGTCTATCTGATACAATTATTCAAAAATCGTAATATAATACTTTCTTTGGATAGTACCGATACCTCTCTAAGAAGATTGACCAAACTAGAAGAAGTCCTGTACATGTACAACTTACCCTAACCAGGTCCCTGACCAGATGAGTCTTGTTGAGTAGCAGACAGACGACGATGAATCTGGCGTAATATCTCAACTTCTTCACCATCAGATCTGGCCTGGACACATACAACAGATACATGAACTGTCACATCAATATGGCAGGCAACAAACTGCAACGATGCTGCTCTTTTCTGGGATGAATTCGACTAGTTAAACTGTATATGACTGAGTGACTCAGAGTTTATTTGTACTGGTCAGAAGATGCAGAAGACACACCTTGAATTTAAGGTTCTTAAGGTTGCTGTACTGAAATATACTTTGTTATAAACAGGAATGAATGGAGAAAAATTAATGAACTCTGTGGATATAATTAGATCACTATTAAGTACGTACTTGTCTTCCTTGTTGGCCTTGGAGTAGTACGCCCGCATGCGGATGGCAGAGTAGAAGGAGAAGGACTCGTGGAGATAGTTGGTTTCACTGGTCCGGAGGCTGCAGAATGTACAAAAGTTCATGATGAAATCTGACAACAATAGACTATGGCCCCCAACCTCTATGAGAACGTATACATGTAGATGCAGAATTAAGTTGTATATTAGTGTTAATTGTGACAGTCAAGATCAGTCTACAATTGGCAATCATAACTTCTGATAGTTCTATGCTGCATTTGGAAAATATTAGTGCTCTCCAGTTCATTTTAAAAGCACACTGTCCTACATTTCGAAGCAATAGTTGAGAGTACTCACTAGTAATGGTAGTACAACTGGCCTATCTTGGAAGCGATCTCTCCGATCTGCCATCTCTTCAGCCCATATCTGGTATCCAGGACTTGTCTGGGAAGGACAAAAGTAAAAGTCAGATATACATGTACATCATATAAACTTTATGATAATCATAATTATCATGTTCTTTATGCCTTTGTGATAGAGAGAAATTAAAAATTCACATTGAAACTGAAAGAGTCATTTTGAAATATATGTGGTAAAAAAATTGTATTCCCTAGCCTACACTGATCTAAGGATTCATTTGCTCAAAAATAATTCTACCACCTCCATATAAAAGGAACCAGAGTCAATACTTCCTCATCAAATTGGCCTCCTCACAAAATCTCTAAATGCAATTTCATCATGGACAATGGGGAGGGAGTTTCCATGCCTTGGTCGCTGGCCTCCATGTTGACATTTTTCCAGACGTTGGGATTGAACAAAAGGGCCATTTAGAGGTGCTATACACGGGCCTCAGGGTAGAACTGTTTACACATTACCTTAACCTTCTGTGGTTAACTTGATACGACTAACTGGATTACTACACCTGCTCACCTTAGCCTGTGTTACACAATCTTTTGCTGATTTAGCTGAGTGTATGTAACATGTATTGTAGAAAAACTCAAACATCAGCTCCTGTATGAATATAGTGTTGATGAAAGTTTGTGAATAATTTCTACCAATCTAAGAATTTCATCCTATGCTTCGCACAAGCAAGAAAAAAAGAAACAAAAATGATGAAAACATTTTTCCTAGGCTGACTATCCAAAAAATATCTCAGTCATCAATATTGATACCCTATTCAAGTTATAACCCAATAACTATGTTAGGTCCTGCCAAAAATACTAACTTTAGATTTGTCTGTAACCTTTGTGCAATTTTCTTTACCTGATTTTCTAAGCCAATTATGCTGACTGGTAGAACACTGATTATGTTTGTACTGTGTAGGTATCTCTAGTGGCTTGAATTATTTAGGTGCTGCAGAGATAATTTGGCTATAAAAGAATTGTAATGAGATTACAATGAAACATCAAGGCAAGAATGAATGAATCAATGTTTCATGTATTCCCAGTGTGCCATGTTGCTAGTGTAGATAAAGAATGTGAACAATTTGAACATTAGAAATAGAAATAATGATCAAATAAATGAAATATTTCCAAACAAAAGATAATATCACTTTAATAGCATTTTTTGAGTGGCAAAATATTGCCTGTCATGTTTTCATACTAGGTTGATTTATGCAAAAATGTTTTTAGTGAAAAACAATTTGAAGAATTACAAAATAATGTGAAGGATTACACATAAACATAACACATAACATTCCAGCAAGAAGAATATACTGAATAAAATTGTCCTTGAGGCTTTGTCTAGCATTTTTTAGAACAGGGACAACCACAAAGATGTACAAAATGCATGCCATACATGCATGAGAAAACCTAGGATCCCAGGTATTCAGCAAAAAATTCAAGCCACTTAAATCCCTACAAATCCTCGGTGCAAACAAAAAGCCTGCATGTTCCTGCTGGCACTACAAGGCCTTCATTATTACGTATTCATATACACCTCCGTCTTCAGTCAACTTAACCCTAAATATTGTAAACCTACTCTTCAACATTCCTGCTTCAAAGCAGCACAATGTTTGTGATCACCCGGCTCTGTGTGCTCAGTCACAACCCTTGACATGTCTTGTTGTGGAAGATTCAGTTACTTTGTTAGTGTAGGCTTCACCTTTAACCAAAAGACCAGTCTGCAGTTGCTAAACCAACAACCTAGCAAAAACACTTGCCCTGCCAAAATCACGAATAGGACTGTGTCAAAAAAAGGACAACATTCTAGCAAAGTTTTCTAAGTTGAAAAACTAGGTGACCTGAATATAGCGACATGTGAAAAAGAAATACGGCCACTGGGGTTTACTTTTCACCTGTTTTGTAGCAGGTGTCACCTGTCCAGGTGAGAATGAAACATGACCCAAAGGATAACACACCTTTCTGGACCAGGTAGACTAAGGTAAACAAAGCGTCCGAACATCATTCACACTATTGTTCTGATATATGAATGGAACATTGTGAGGCAGCCATAAATATTGACATTTGAGCAGACTGTCACACATATAGGTAAAACTTTGGATGGTCTCCAATTCAACTAACCTTCTCCCTGACACCTAACCTCCTAACCAACACACGTTTGGTGCCAAAAGACTACTTAAGCAGGGAAAGGTTGATGACAATCGCTTCAGTGTGAGAGAAACATGATGAAAATCATACCCAAAGAAAACAATAAAGCCATGAAGCTATAACAAATGCTGTCAGCAGCAAGTTACAAGTTGAAGAAAGAAATAAAACTGATTCTTTACAGGTGAATGTTTACATAAGGCTTATCTTTACAATGTCTTCAAAGCACCAGAGTGTGTTTGTTTGTGTCCGTTACATGTTCAAACTGTAGTGCTGTTCCCGTTAGTACCTGTTTTGTTGCTGAAATTTCCACAGTTTGGTGTAGACATCGAACGTTCTGCCGAAGTATGCCTGCCACTGGCGCTGCCCATACTGGGGTAAATCTCTGAAAAACACAGCAGGAAGGCTCGGTCAACTCAGGGTTAATGTGGAAGTTTCAATACACTTTTAAGAAAACATTATTTCAACATTAAACATTGTTTCAAACACCATCCTACATGTTGCAATTGTAAAGTATATTTTTAGCTCAATATACTTAGTATCTAGTAACCAGCTGCAATATACACACTGAAATTGCATACACACTGAAATTGAAAGCTAAAGTATTGATGAAATATTACAGTTAAGAGGAAAACAAATTATGTCAAGCCCTGAAATATTGTAGTGCTATAATTCACTCTATGGTGCAAAACATTCATTTGGCTGCACCGGTCCAAGCAGAGACCTCCTGAATGAGATTGGAGAGTATGATTAATCCGTGCACTTGAACCTGGAAGCCTGTTTTCCCCATATCAATCTGACTCCATGCCACCCCCCTCCCTGCACTATATTTACCACATGGCGTTACCGGCGTGATATATCGGATATTCTACATTATTCATTTGGAAGTTCACAGCTGTACCAGTCAAGTGTTAACTATCAGTGACCCTTGTGCGGGAATGGTGCCTTCTTGATTGAGGGTCATGAGAGGCCCTGGCTACGGGTTCTTCAGCTCAAAGAGGCCCTCTTCAGTCTACTCCCCATTCACAGGGTACATTAGTTGGTACAACACTGTAGCAGACCCTCTATACTTCCAACATAATGCTTCTTTTATCGGATAGTTGCACTTGTGTTGTTCCGTGTCCTTGATTCTGATTTTGTGTACACAACAACCAGGAAAGTGAGAGAACCGAGGCACAAGCTGGAGTTGTATTCGGGGCTGTTAAGAAGGATGCAGTCAGTAATCTAATGGACAGAGACAAAGGTGTAATAAATTGCTTATGCACGGGTAGAAATTGCTTTGTAGACATGTAGTGCTCCATTTATAATAACTGACTGAGATTCAAATTCTGTGTAAAATGTCTTGTGTAGCAGAGTCTGAGTGACAACCGCCATACGTGTAGATTCTTTTAATGCCGCTGATCAACACCATCATCATCATTGATCATCTCAAGCCAAGGATAACTATCTTCCATCCTAAGGCCATGACGGGCACATGGCACATGCTGATACACTGTATGCACTTAATCAAGGTTTTCACAAGTAACAAGCATGATCTCAAACATATGTGTAAATGTAGTTATTTTGCATCACGCATTTGGTCTAGATGGAGCCATAAAATTGATTATATGGCTGGTCCACCAGGTGCAAGGAGAGATTAAGTAATGAAATTAATGTCATCCCCAAAGACCCTATAACTATAAGGCTGGAGCTTTATGACCCTTTCTCTTCCTAGAATGACAGTGTTCAAATATGGGTAGATTTTCGCAGAATCCTGCTACATTCTTGTAGAACTGCTAGAAGATTTTATACAAGCTGAGCACCTTATGACATCTGATAGTCCCTACATCAACTCTCATCAAGTTACTCAGTATGTATTAATTTTCTATTTACTATCTGTCAAAAATAAAAACTACTAAAATTAATGTAAAAGTGATGTACAGAATTTTTCTTGTTGCTACATTCATATAGCTTAATGGTAATAACAACTGCATAGACTACAAAATTGTAAATTGTTTGTATGCGAGTTCAGACATTCAATTTGTTCAATTTAATGTAATGAGTGTGGGGTTGCTTCTAGTAAGTTGGACCATTGCACATCTAATTTTTTAATTTTGTTTATGTAGTAACGGGAATGCAACTTGGATAAAATATGTCTAACTGCCAAATGATATCTGACGACGATGTTCCATAACTATGCTTACACCCTTCTCAACCCCACATATGACTGACAGGTTCAAATGTGCAAACGTTGTGAGCAACAGATAATTTCATGTAGATGTATAAGTTACATGTATACATAAATGGAATCAACATTTTTTCTACTACAGTACAACTAGTGGATGCCGTAGAAATTCTAAAAACACTGTCATCATCATTCAACCTTGCCTTCCCCTACACATTTGGAGCATGTTGAAATTAAAATGTTCAGAATCTAAGTTATAATTCTCTTACCTTTGACTTTTAATCTTGTCATAAGAAATACGTAGGATGAGGTGGATAACTTATAACTGTGCGCATAGACAGACAAACATTAAAACAATACTTCACTCCCTTGGGCGATGATCTTGTCTCCTGTTCCTTACCTGAGTCCGTTGAAGAGTTGTTTAGACTTATCCAGCAGGTAGCAAAACTCTGTCACAATCTTCCTCTCGTGTTCCGGTATCTCTTCGTCAGACATGTTCGCACCGATTCATGTCGTTCCCTCCGCTTCCCTGCAGGTAAAAACCTCGGCAACCGTCCAACTCGCGGCTCTTGTCACTCAGCGAGCGGTAAACGTTCTAACGGTGCAGGCCAGACAGGGTGTCTGGGAACAAGTGCACGGCAGGCAGGGGTGTGGTTCAGCACTTTCCCACGGAGGTGGCGCTTTTTCCGCTAAAAATACCGCCCAGCATCGCTTTGTGGTCAGATTTGGCGCCGCCCGGATTTACAAAATGCTATATAATTGGTTCTAACGCAGCATTGATTGAGGCGGTTGAGAAAAAGCGACTACAAACAGCGGCTGAATCAACCGGGCAGAAATTGTAGCCCATCCAAAAACATGACATCTGACCTCCCGTGACCTGTGACCAATGGAAGAAACCATTTTGGTAGATGGGGGTGCTGCTTACTTTACTTTACTGCTGTTGCTAGCATTTTTATTGTCTTTAACAAATTAAACTTGTATGTCATACACTTATATCCGCATCAGTTGATATTCTTTTTCCACATTTCGTTCAAGTCTGACACAACCAGCCGTTCCCATTGTCAGCAACTTCAAGCTACCAGTACGAGCACCATCTTGCGGAATTAAAAGTTACTGCAGGATAAAGAATTACTATCTGAAAGCGACCTCTGGCGGCTGGTGAAAAAGTGCTTCATCTTGTCAACAATGATCTTACATTTATGTCTCTTTGAATCTAACCGGTGGAGCTCCCTTTTCAAAAAGCCAATGCAAAGATAGAAATAGCCATTTTGGGTTGCGGGTTTTTCCTGCAATGACTATTTCAATAAGGAATGCACAATATTAATATTAGTTTTTCATAAAAGGGCATTTATTTATGATACTAGTGTGTACATTCGAGATAGCACAGGTGATGTTATAAGGCCATGTTGATTTGATTATATGGATGACATCCTCTGGAAACCCCAAAACTGATGCGAGCGTGCGAATAAAAAAAAAGTTTTGCAAAAAAAAAAAGTTGCTTTCATCATGACATCTACGTGGTCATGAAGGTTGTACAAAGGACAGAGTGTGGTATGACGAATAATCTAATCTTCAAATTCATTTCTTCACATTTCGTCTTTTTCATTTGATTTTAAGAGTCTACGACATTGGTATCGTTTTCAAATTTTTTTTTTGCAACTTACGGTATATATTTGCTCATTTTGCAAGTGTTTTGTATGATTTACACTATGGTTGAAAACTTTTTTTTTTGGAAACGGCCGAAAATTCATGCGCGCGAGTATGTCATCCATATAATCAAATCAACATGGCCTAAGCTGGAGACACCACATTTCAAATGATGCAGTGATGCAAGGCAGCCACAGTTTAACATAATACTTTCTATGATACATGCATTTAATGTTACAACGAAGTTGGATACAAATATCAAAGCGTATAAACAGAAATATACATGTACAGGAATACGCTGTACTACCCAAAATATAAGCCATTTTTACAAAGTTGGAACATCTAATATAGACTGGCTAAGAAATAATGACTACAAAAACAAAGAACATACTACAATGTACGATGACTTCTACAATGAGTGAGTTAACAAACTATTTCTAAATCAGTTAACGATGCATGCTGAATACACTTGTCACAAAAAATGTACATTAGAAAAGTTGAGCTATTATAAATTACATATATATAATGTTACTCATTAATAGAACATGGTAACATTACATCATCAAAATGTGCTGGTTTGTTAAGAAGAGACATTATGAATAGATTGTTATCTTTGTTATGTATGACTGTGCATGTGGTTAAAGAATGATGGGGTCGGCCCTATGTTACGACAGCCCTATGTTACGACAGCCCTATGTTACGACAGCCCTATGTTACGACAGCCCTATGTTACGACAGCCCTATGTTACGACAGCCCTATGTTACGACAGCCTTACGACAGCCTTATGTTTTGACGCCCCCTTTTTTCAACACGATTATGGCTATGTTCAGACACCAAGTGATAAATTGTAAATGTATTGAGTGTAATGATCTCGAAGGAAATTTTCACGTTATATATTGTCACTGACAGTGTTTCCGCCAGACTGCAGCTGAGAGATCCTGAGAGGCCGTCCAGTTGGAAAGGGCCGGGTCGCGAAAATTAATTAAGTTATGGAACACGTCGCGAAAATTAACTGAGGGGGCGGGGCATTTGTTTACACTTGTTTACAAGTTGAAACTGTCCACAAGCATTCCATATTTTTCACAAGTATTGACATAAAAAAACACTGCTACAAATGGCAAACGTATCGTCAGGAATACTTAATTAGGACATTCTGCTGCAAAACTCCAAACATCGGCATCATTTATTTTAATTGTAACCTCCGGCAAGGAGATAGCCGGATTTTAATAGTGAAGAGCCTTGCTTCATCCGTACGGCTTCCGTACTAGCAACATTTCCGCTACAAATTACTAGTTTATATCACGCCAAAAATACATCAAAACATATAAAGAAGCGTCATCTTATCTCTCATACACGAGACAAATTTTGAAAATAATTTGGCTGTGTCGTAGCTTTCATTGCTCTTTTATTCAACAAAAGTGCTCCTTGGTTGTTAAATGATCTCTCATATGTTGTCTCCAGTACAGTGTCAAATGGTAGCGTGATCGTAGCGTGCGAAAAATCGGCGTTAAAAGTCAGAAAATCGCCGGAAAATAACTTGCAATAACAATAGCTGTCGTAACATAGGGCTGTCGTAACATAGGGCTGTCGTAACATAGGGCTGTCGTAACATAGGGTTGTCGTAACATAGGGTATGAACCAAAGAATGATTGGGGAAAAATTACCAACTTGGGAAAAGATATAGATACCGGTAGTAGAGGTATACATGTGTGTAGTTGCTTGAATTCTTTGTGGTTGTGATATTGGGCAAAGGTTGGAGATTTCTCACTAGGTAAAAAGTCACCTTGGCAGGGGTTTTATTTTCATTGACACTTTGTTCAAACAGTGAAATCTAACAGTCAGAGTTTGCCATTCCATGTAAATGTGACTGCTGCAGGGCACATCTTTGTCAGGATACCTTTGGTTGAGTCCTGACAGGGAACAGTCGTTGTACCACCAGCCACCCTCCTGTTCCCTGGCACAGTTTTTCCTCTGCGATTCATCATTGTCCCTGTCTGGTGTGGAGAACATCATGTACCTGGCTGTGGTCCACGGGTAGCTCTTTGAATCCATGGAGTTTCCTGCAGTACCGGTGAAACCTGACAGGTAGAGCTGGTAGTTGGTGCTCTCGCTGCCCACGCTGAAGCTGACATATTCAGCCCAGAAGACCTTTCTCCTGTCATTTCCCCGAGATGGATGGAAATGAAATATTGTAGAATGAACTTTTAAAGGGATACATATAACATTCTTTGAAGGAGAATACAATTCAATTCTCTATTGTGTATTCAAGCAGTTGCACTATCATAATCCCATTGAACCACAAGATTTTTTTGCACATCAAAGATTGACCTAAAATTTTTCTCACCTCTCCCGTCTCTCAAAATCAATCCTGAGTTTCCAGCCGCCCTGACGGGTCAGTTGATGGACATGTTCCAGTCCCAGCCAGAACTCTCCGGACAGATGGCCGAAGCCATCCCTGTAGTCTTCCCACTGTCTGTTGAAGTCGACACTTCCGTCCATACGGCGCTGGATGACTGTCCAACCTGGGAGTAAAACATCAACAAAAGACTACATCATACATGTACATGTAGATGAAAAGAAGTTAAACATCATAGAATTAACCTCACTAAATCACGCTCCTAGCGGCCGCCCACCCCGCTGGTCATTAACCCCTGGTCAAGAGCTTGTGTAAACACAGGACACGGGAACCTTTTACTTGTCTTGTAACTACCGGTATACCAAATGAAGACCAGCATCTCTTAAGTCAGTGACCAACCTCATGAACTTCTAGCTTGTTCAGAGACAATTTTAAGACAAAGCACAATAAAAAAATACCTCCATCCCTGACACATAAAAATTGTGAGCACTAATGGACTAAAAAATGAAAATTTTTGCAGCCCTGCAAGCTACATTACCTCCTTCAGCTGTGTCCATGTCACAGTAAACCTGAACATTCTGTCCAGCAATGTTGATGGTGTAGACTCCGGAGCTGAGTGGGCCAGGTTGGGGACGCAGAGATGCACATGAAAGAGGTAGAGGCTCTGTAACCCATGTGAGTGAAAGATAATGGTTTTAGGTCCACAACATTCACAAGGCCGAGAGTTCTTACCTCAACAAATGTGACTAAATCAGGTGAAGATTGCAATAAAATAAATCTTTCAAAAATAACCTAGAAGTGAATCATCTTACAAATTAAAGAAGGTGACTTCACTTCTTGCTGCTTGTCATTACCCCCAGAGCATACTGTTTTTCTTTGTTCAAAATATAGTATTGCTATACAATTACACCAAATTTAAGTTAACAGTTAAACTTTGTGTTTGTGCCTGATTTTTACCAAGGAATAAATATCCTGAATAATAATATGAATACCATCAGCTGTAGTAGCTACTGGCAACATCATCAGAGCTGTTTTGACAGGATGTGTTGTGATAGTTGCCATGGTAACTGTGGTTCCCATGGTTACCAGAGGAGAGTCTGCAGGAGCCATGTCTAGATCTGTAGCCTAGAAGAGGTGATGCAAAAAAATTAAGTCCCATATAATTTGATCCTTTCAAACCATTCAAAAATAAAAAAATGCTAATCACAAACAATGCATGTCTCTTTTTTATCAAGGTTGCTGGAGATGGAAATACGTAATGTTAGGAAATAACAGTTTTAAAAAAAGAGTATTACTTGTTTTCAAGTGTCTCACCGGGGATAGTATATTTGTTCCCTGGTGGTGTTGAAGTCCCTGGTGGTCTGCAATGGCAGCGTTGAGGATCACGGCCACTACTGCAGCAGCAGCCACGCCCGCGCAGAAGGCCAACACGTAACCCAGGATGGGACTCAGTTTGAGCACGCATTGTGCCTGAGGAGGCTGACCGTCTTGCTGTGCATCCACGTAAGCCTGGTCCATGCCGGTGTAGTAATGGTAGCCTGGGCTGGAGTCTGGACTGATGTACTGACTGGTATCTTCGGTTGACTCAGCTTCTCCATGATGCTCCCCCACACTGTTTTCAGCAATGTCTTCATAAGTGCTGGTCGGTGTTGTCTCCTGATCTTCCCTAGGTATCACACTTGGCTGTGTTGCTGTGTGTTATACAGTACATTAAGTCAAAACACCAGGCGCAGAGGCAATTAATTATATATATACTTGTATAGATGCATTTTCCTGTCATGTGCTCACAATTAATATCAAAACTTCTGATAATGATAGAATGATAATCTATCTACATGTAGACTGTAAAATTTTGGTACAATAACAAGAAGTGGATGGGCAGAATGATGAGGCATGTAGATGTATAGACACATATTAAGGTAAATACTGAATTTCTCTATGTAAGCATGAATCATGTACAATAACATGTATTTTGAATTCCAATTGTATGACAAACAGTACATTTGTAAATGACTTTTGAAGAATGTATGGTGCCTACTGATTGTGAGGGCAATAGCCTACATTATGTTCTGACTTAAAAAATGTTCAACTTTAAATTTCTTACCTAAAAACAGATTTGCGGTACATGCATCATCAGGTGGCATGGGCAGAGGATCCCTGGGAGATCTGGGGTCCATGGTTTCCTCTGCTTTGTCTCTTGTGCCTAAAAACTTGTCGCTGAAAGTCAGCCTTGACCCTCCCTGAATTGCCTTTGTCCCTGGAGGCTAAAAGAGATTTTTGAGTTGAATCTAGCATGATTTGAATCTAGCGTAAAGGTGAGTTCTATGTTCCTTTTTGACTCTAAATGTCTGGGAGGTACAGTGCATTGCAGATTACACAACATTGTCTGCACCTACATGTACATTTAAAAATATAATGAATTCAAACATCCACCAATTACATGTACAGTACATTGAATTGAACTGAATTGGAGCAGTCACGTTACAGATTACATGAGATCTAAAAGGGACATTTGCACCTTTTATAATATTAAAAGGCATTCAAACTCCTGACGCATTTTGTTGAACACTATACAAAATACATGTACCTCTTTTAGTTGACCCTGATTTTCCGTGATGTGCTTCTGGAACATTCCTATCAACGTCTTCATAACTGCTGGTAGACAGAAGGATGTCCTGTTGTTCTGTAGTCTCCATTCTTGGTTGTGTTACTGGGGGAACAAAATGTCATCATTCCATCGAAAGCATCATCTGGTACATTCTTGTCATGCGTACCCGATATTTCTATGTATACGTAGAGGTCCTTTACTATAGCTAATACTTCTAAGTTGTGATTATGTGTTTATTAAAATATTATAACTGACTGATACAAAGTTACATGATTGTGTGAATTTTGAAGTTATATGAAACTTTGCTGTTTTTCATACAAGTCTTCTCCAATTATATGTACATGTAACAGTGATTTTACTACGTACAGAAACCTTTGGTGGTAATGTTACATACACATTGTATCGACAGATATATTTGGTAATAAAAATTTATCATAATTTTCTAAAAGTTAAGTAACAATCATACCTGGTGAAGGGCATATGGAGTCTTGATGCTCCTCTGGCAACTTAGGAAGCGGGTCGGTGGCACATCGTGGTGTCTTCAACATCTTTTCTGCTTTCCGTGTTGTTCAGAGGACCTGTTTCACTGCATGCAGATGGAATCTGAGGTATGGTTGGTACTAACCTGTCCTGGTGATTTGGTGGCAGAAATATTTCTTTTCTGAAGAACGGAGGCTTTTACTGCTGGGATTTTGTCAGATTTGAGTAGACACTATTTATCCCAATATTATGAAGAGACTTTGCCTGAACTGGTCCTGATATGAATGGATTGAGCCTACTTCTGGGCCTGTGAATCTGGGCCTGTGAATACAAGCATTTAGGCTATTGGAATAATCAACCTGTTTTCTGGTCAGGGCCTACACAGATTAGCTCAGAGTTAGACTTGAGTTAGAGTTTCTCGAGGGGCATTTCTTTGAGAGCATGATAGCCCTGGAGCCAAGAGGATGGCCTGCATAGGCCCTGGAAACAGCCTGGCATCCAGGCTATCTGTTTTCCTGTACAGGAAACATTCCAATAGCCACCCATGCAGACTAATTTATCAGCGACCATTTCCTGAAAAACTGGCATTTTAAATGGATTGTCACTCCAAGGTCTTGTCATGTCAAAATCCAACAATATCTATCAAGGATTCTACTTCACTTTATGCTGACGAGTTCCACTACAAGATGAACATTAAAGTATCAATAAATCTGCAATGTAGGACTGAATCTTGTACTAGTACGCTGTTTCTTGGTACATGTACTTTTGGCCAAAAAATCTGGTCAGCTAAAAGTAAGCATATTGGATTTCTGTCATGGACAGAAATGTTTGGTGTTGAGAATGGCTCAGAAGCCCAAAAGGAGTAGGAATTTTCAAGCACTAGTTTGACCTTCTATTACATGTATGTCTAGCAACTACAGAAGCATCCTTATATCTGCATGACTTTGGGGACTGAAAAAGGATGAAATTGTTTTCAAGAAAGGTTTTGTGTTGAACAATTGAAGTACTGTGATGAAGTCCACAAAATCAGGTCACTGACCGGAAAGAATGAAGGCCTGGAAGTGGACGGCCAGACTAATCTCCTATCAGTTCAGACAGCCTTGAATCTTAGACTGACCAACTCCCTCACTCACACTACTCAGTCTACAATCCACAAAGACTGTTTTGTACAAATCTTTGTACAGACTGTAAAACAATTTATTGTTTGAACTCATATAGAGAAGGTACACTTTAGTAAGCATTTCAGTACACTGTACAAGATACATGTGCTACCATAATGCACATTTTTCCTCATGAATTAATGTATGTAACATCCAAGAATTTTAGTACAATAGCAGATATAAAGCTGTAATGCTATGTTATTCCATCTTACGGTCACAACTTGCGTACACTGATCTTTCATTCATCTGTACAAAAAGTGCAGTTTAATTTTTTTTATTAGATAAGGATTCTTCCTTGTCTAAAAAGGTGAAGAGGGACAATTTTGTCCTTTACCATAAATAGGCTACTACTGGTATTGTCTATTTATCAGACATGTACAAGGGCAGAGAAACTGCAGCATCCAAAACAATGTGTTAAACATTTCATATTTGAAACATCTCTCTATATTTACAGTTGTACATCGTTTTTTTTCCAATCTATTACATACACTGTATCAGGCTTTTTTCAAAAGAATCCACAACTTCTACGTAAACAATGTGTTGTTTTGGCCACCTACTGGAAGAAAATGGAATTGCAAGAACTGAATACATTGTACTTTGTCAGGTTTATAACATCTAATTCCTGACAGTGGTTCCAGCATTCAGAATACACATAGACTACAGTGTCACATTTACATTTCTCAATACGTTTAGCACTGGCCATATGTGACAAGAATGTTTGCCCATATTGAAAGACAAGAGAGTGCATGTAAGCAATCCTTGGCTTCCTGAATTCCCCCATATCGACCCCAATTCCAGCTGCTGGCTCCCAGCCAGATTCTGAGACTTTCACCTTCATAACATTTCCTGAGTCTGAACTTTTGACCTCTAATCATTATGTCTGTCTGGTCAAACAGATACACAAACCCACATTTCAGCCATCAAAATAATTCCATACCTGGAAGTGGTAGCTTCATATGGGCAGTAATCTTCATTTTCATTAAAAAATTGTGATCACTAAAGTAGTTGGGGGTTGCACTACAAATAAATCAGAGATGACTTTCAACAGGTGTCTTTGGTAATTTTCAACTCCTTCATAATCAATTATTTTCAGTCATAAAACTCTTAACATGATCATAACATGATTGTGCTCATCTCTCTCCTTCAGTAAATTTCGTCTTCAACACTCAACATTCTGTTTATTGTGAGCTGTTTGCATTATCAGTGTAAAACATTAGGTGTTCTAACTGATGATCTGTAAACAGTGCTCACCATTCCTATACTTCCAATTACCTTGTTCCTTTCCCAACACTTCCCACAATCATGGATCTACCTATTGTACCATTTGTTGGTGACAGATCGTACCAAAGTACATATCCGGAGGGGTGTCTTCAACCATCACAAATTTGACTCATATTTTTCCATAGATTATGAGTTAAAGTTCAATCGGACTCTTTAATGTCCCAAGAAAAGGCCACACCAGCATCTGGCAAAACCACGGGGAGAACCAGAAGAAGCTGACGATTCGGTACTGCACCAGACCAATCACAACCCCCGTAACAACGTCGCTGACGTGGTGTCTTCCTAACATGACCCTCGACATGGCGATCGCGAACGCCCACAGAACGAGGAAGTGTTTTATGGCCATCGGCATCCACCAATTGCCGATGAGAAAGGATACCACCATTGCCGACCGCGTGGCGTGGCCAGACGGGAAGGAAAACTTGTCGACGGACAGGGTGACGGAATCGAACGGGTCGACGGGGTTGTACGGCGGCCGCTTACGTTTCACCATCGCCTTCATGGTTCCCACGATGAAAAGGTCGAGAATCAGAGCTGCATGGGTGACAAGACATAACATTATTAGATCAGAATGTAATAAAAGCATTACATATATAGCCTGTGGCAGCTCAAAAGGTATTTCCCAATTCAATTTGTCTAGGTATACATTGCAGTGACACCATATTCATCAGTGACATGATATTTAATGAATAAGAAAAAATTGTTAAATTCATTTGGTGAAAATTTCAAGTTGAACTATAAATATAGTATATGTACTAGTAATTATTTTAGGCAATTTTTAAATTGTTACAATGCTTGCTGTTGCTTCAACTTTTCCCATAACATTTTTGCCCAAAAGCTACCCCAAATCTAGACTTGCAGACATTTTACAAGCCAGACTAGCCAAATGGCCTGCCACGACAGGGATCCAAAACAGATGGGTCATACTAATGCCAATAGTTATCCTGCCACATTAAATGGCTTCATGAGAAGAACTGGCCATTAAGACTTAAAGTGCTCCTTGCAACAGCCCATTTTTCTGTTTGATATATGGGCTGTAGTTTCTTTTATACTGCATATAGCAATTATAGTTGGCTGATAATATATATGGGGAACTCGATCTAAAGGCCCTTACTACTTCAGAAATAGCTCCTAAAAGTCACAATCAGGTCTGTTAAACTTAAAACAAGGTAAACCAATATACTGTGTGACAAGAAAGGATTAGCATATATAGTCTGTTACACAATATTTTTTGTCATTAGTATGTTTCCTTCAAGGCCATACGTAAGTAGACACTCTATAATTACCTAATGATACTGTACATAACATAGCACATGCATATATACATGTATGTATGCAGAAAGTGTTTCAAGGGCAGCAATACAGTCTACTTGGCTGAAGCTTATGAAGTACTTGACTGTCCCATTGCTAATAGTAATAGTGTAGCACACTCTGATGCATTATAATTAGGAATTGCCAAAATCGTGGCCAGAATCTAAACTTTCCCCAGGTTCATATTAGGTAGTCAGAGCTTGAAATTAATGTTAAATTGGCAGTAGATCTAACATAATTGTAAAATGTATATTCTATTTCTAGTTGTCATCATTTTGACCTGAACAGCTCTGTTAGAAAATGCAGGTAATATTTGCATCAAACTTATCAGCCAAGAAGTATCTAAGCCTTGTTTGTGAAATTTGTGACATATCTTAATCAGGTATCTTTTTGTCCTCATTACTAGTGATATATTGACTTATTAGTGCAGATTTTATTAAGACCTGTGAATGACTAAAGTCCCAAGATGTTTTCTCCTTCACTGTCTAGTACAATGTACCAAATTAACATCACTTATGAATCTCCTTTCAACTGAACACCATTAATTAATACTATATGATATTTTCCTACATCCAAATAAACATGCTGGTAACACTACATTAACCCTTCAAGAGATAGGAGTTGGTATACTGTCTTGAATTAAATAAAGGCTTTTAAAACCATGGTGGAACTGGAAAGAACAAATTCAATTCCTGTGAAATTAACAACATATGGTCTCTACATGCACTGTTTCATTTTCGACTGGGCCAAAAATAAGAATAATATGTTTCACATACGATGACATTTCTTAAAAAGCAAACAACAGTTGATAATCTCCACAGAGAAGCATGTGATGAAGAAACAATGCTTTTAATTTGGCTGATTTGTTCAAGCTGAATGACATTAAAATTCTGTCATGTAGTGTTAGAAAATGTGAATTTTTACATAGTTTAGCAACTCTAAGTTATGTAGCTATTACTACAAATACAAAGTAAAGGGGCTGTAAATGGTACTTTGAATTCGAATTTCTATCTGATCAGATTATATTGTACTCTACTTCTTTTAAAAACATGTCATCCATTCTGACTTGAAACTGAATTGTCAGCATGTACAATATGCTTAGTATTCAGCTGTCACTATCCAACTACAGTAAGTGTTTAGATGGATTCTCGCCAACTTTCACCTCCTAGTCCTACTTCCTATTCCTACAGATACTTCTGACATTGACATTGGAAGGTCAATAGGGCTAATCTATTAGTAGTCTAGTGGGGGGCACATCCAGACATTAGCTTAAGTTGGAAGCAATCTTGTCTGTCCCATTATCAGTGGATGGCTTAAACTGGCTGCTTTTCAGTAAAACTCTAATAGCTCTCTAATAGAAGATTGGATAAATTTTACAGGAACCACTCACTGTGCATGAATATGTAAGGCAACACATTTTCTCAGTTCTTTGATGATTGGATGCTTTTTCTGATTTGAAAGAAACAGTAAATTTTTTTCTTCATTTTTACTTGGGATTTCAAACATGTATCCACAAGTCAATTAACTGCATTATTGTGGGCTACAGTATTTCCACTATCTTCACTTGTTACCTGACATCTTGTACTTTATCTAATTTGGTGGAAAATTGGAACAACTCAAGAGACGGAGATAATTCTTCAGACTCAGAGTCTGGAACAAAAGTAAAATCTACACATCGGTATGCTGAAGTAACTCCACAGGGCCTCAGGCCATTATGCACGGCAATAAAAACCATAAAGATTATCTGCCATATCTCTGCTGCTTAATACACAAGCATTCATGGGTGAATCTGACATCGCGTAACAAAATCTTACTTTAGTGCCAGAGGGATGGTTGATGATAATCAGTTATGAGAGGGTGGGAAGCTTCCAAGGCAATATCAGTACCAAATGCTTTTGAATAATTCTTCAGTATGACAAATCTGACATCTGATCATGTTAAACTTCTTGATGTAAGTGATATATTTGTGCCTACTGTATATAATCTATTCATGGTTGCTTTAATTTTGAAAGCCCACTTAAGTACTCAGTCCCAGGGCTCAGTACCAATCCAGGGTTATAAACGAGATTTCTGATGATATGACAATGATGATGATACAATACCATTGGAAAGTAACAGTGTAGACAAAGTTGAGCAAACTCTTTTGGTGAGTTTATTTCCTAAATTCAAGGGAGTAGCCAGGACACTTCTGTTGTACCCTTTATTCTTTCACATCACAAATTCCCTTATTGTTTATTTGTATATTGAGATTTTCCACAAAGTGAAAGGGAAGGCAAAACAGGTGCATATCCACCTTTTCAGGTTGCCCTCCCCCCAAAGAAACAACACAACAACATTATGTATGTTATATTGATTTATAGACATGCTTTTGTTTTGACGCATCAGATTTTATTTGATTGTTGTCCACATTTTATTTCTTGCCTAAATGTAACCATGTCTTGTCCTGTGTAAATGTAACTATTGTAAGCTGGGCCCCAGCTGAATGGGCTACCCTGCCATTTATGATCAAATGAAATGAATAAATAATATGGATTTCAAAGGCAATACTCAACAATGTATAAAGATATACAAAACAGACAAAAATCCAGTAATTTATGAAAGAATAAATCATGTTCTACCCTACTTGACAGTACTTGTCCCTTATTGTTCCTTACCTGCGAAGAGGTTGACCAGTTTCTGGACCTGCAGGATGGTTGTGCTTTTGTACAGCATGAAGAGAGTACCGGCGATCCACGGCACCCCGTGACACGAGAACTCCAGGAAGATCAGGATGTGCCGCAGGTTACTGTCCGAGCGATTCGCAACAACACTTATACACTGAGGGGAGGTACAAGGTGAGGAGGTAATAAACTCAGGGTTTTTGTGGCATATTAGTAATTAGATAGTTCTGACAAACATTTCAGTTGTGACACCATAAGTAGAGCATTCTTACTTCATAGTGCGGTACTATACCGTAATAGTCATGCATTGGTTTATACATGTATATGAGTTGTACACAATGCCAATTACTAGTAGTATATGCTACCATTTACTCCTCTTACATACATCTGATGTACAGTCAAACCTGAACCTGTGACCATCTTTGCACAAGTACCACCTGGCCATTGTGGACACTTTCTGGTGATCCCTTGGATTATTTGTTTCATTGTCAGCATGTATGTTGTAGCCACTTGTTTACTGTGCCCACTTTAATGCCCTTGAGTGGTCAATATGGACACATTTGACTGCATATGTGGACATTTCTCACATCACATTTTGCTTTTGACAAGCTTATAAAAGTGGGAGACTTGGTTGTTTAAACAACACATTGTTAATGGATGCCAGTTCAGTACCTTGGACAGGGTCAGGTCGATAGCCAACAGTGAGCTGAAGATGATCTCCCCCAGGGTGGCGTTAGGATCAGATGGACCCATCGTCTGCTGTGGCTGGAATATAAGGGTGAAAATACAATTACGTACAATTAATACATGTACTGCATTTGTAGCAACTACAACATACTGATATACATTGTAGTAACACCTGATGTGCAAGTTCTGTTTTGTTCCTTCTCTACCTCGTCTTTTGAACATTCTACATTGTCTTCCCTTAAATCTTTTGTTATTCTGGTCACATTTAAAAGCTGCAACCTAAAGACCCACCATCCTCTCCAATTAGGCCTTAACTGTTACTGTAATGGCTGCCTTCAATTATGGCTTTTCTACCCCAATAGCAACATGAATTGTCAAACTATCTGAGGATCCAGGATTATCAAACTATCTGAATCTTCAGACATTTTATCTCCTAGCATTTGATTGCAATGTTTCCTGACTTCCTTGCACCAAGGAAGTTATACAAAGTCCTTGATGCATAACGCCATTGCATTGCTGCTTACGCCTATACAATCACACAATTTGTACACAAGTCATGTCCCGGAATGTCAGTGTACCACGTACCTTTCCCTTGTCTGTCCGGGGCAGTCCCCAGGGCCTCCCCAGGTTGGCATCATTCTGGCTCCCCTTCCGTCCAGTCTGGCTAGACTGCCTGGTCAGCCCGGGCCTTCCCCTGACCGCCTGTCTGTCCTGGTCTTCTGGGTCTTCTGATGACCGGCTGGGCCTCCGAGGGGGAGCGCGGCCCTGTGCCCTGGCCTCCGCGGCCTCTGCCGCCGCGCTCACCTCGGCGCTCCGGCCACTGCTGCGCCGATACCGGTCCCCGCCCTCCCCATGCAACGTGGCGTCCTCCTCAAAACTGTGCCTGCGCGGAGGGCCGGGCTTGGGAAACACTGCGTCAGGGTTCCTCCATAACTTACTCATGTCAATATTTTCATTCATTTCGTTCTCGCCCCTCCCACTCCTAAAGTCTTCCTCATCGTCTTCGAAAAACGCTCCTTTCGATCTTTTACTTCTCTGGTGAGCCATCTTTCTTGTCAGGTCCACGTCCACCTCCACAAAAGCTCCTAGGGTGCTAAATTTGGAAATAAAACACTGACGACACGAGGGAAAGATTATTTTTAGCCGGTAGCGGCCATGTTGGATCGCACGATACCGCGAGGTCTTGTGGGATGGTTTAAAATACCGGAAGTTGACGTTCTCTCACCGGAAAACGTGCAAATTTCGCGGCAAAAACCAGCTGATCGGTGAAACCCCCTCACATATGATTACCCACAACGTTGGTAAAGAGCAGCCATCTCTATAGCGGTCTTATCAGTGGCCACAACGCGCTTCTTGTTCATCCGCTCTGCGTTTCCCGTCGGGGAAAAACATCAGGCGCTCGCTGTCCCTATCAGCTGGCACCAAACGCGATGGCAAGCATTTCTCCTGGCCAAATATAGCAATGCTAGAGTTACACACATGGCGATGTGTGTATACCGCACATTCTGCGAGTGCCGATGCTTGGCGAGACATCGAGGGACACTTTCCTGTCGCACGGCCGACACGGGTGGGACATTCTTCCCCAAGTCGTCGTGTCTTTACGGACTCCGCAGCACCGATCCCGACGCCGGTAAAACCGCCGTACGCCTGAGGTGCTCCCCGCGGGACTATGTAGGCCGTTGGCCCGATGCTCCCTCTCTCTTTGCTGGTCCAGCGAGATCCTTTCGGTACATCGAGGATGGGGTGCGTTCAGAGCAGCGCTGGCTGTAACCGCTGCCCTGCCTGTAAATTCAAGGTTTCAGTGACCGACCTGCACGCTTCTATTGACACCACGCCGACGATCATAGAGGAGTACTCGGACGTTGTGTTAAAGTACCGCACGCCTTACTTCAGGGCGTCCGCTAAGGTAACGGTGCCGCCGATCCGCCGGGCGGGGAGATGGGCCGTGGGGTGGATACAGGCCTGTACGCACATGGAATTCTTCAACACGTACGGAAACATGGGCACGTAAGTTACCGTGTTATTCCCTCCACGTACCGTATATCATGCATTTCAAGCAGTAAATCTCTACGCTACACAGACGATGTTTATTTATAATCGTCAGCATGAGATTAACGGTCACACACACTTCAACACAACGCGCCGCGTCTAACACAACACCTCATAGCCTTACAACGCGGTATCTCAACCTGTATATTTCTTATCTACATGCTGTGTCTCTTCTCTTATCGTTTTTCTAGTTCCCCATTTCATGATGCGGTGTCGAGTAAGCGAATTATTTTAGAATATCCACAAACGATCACAAATTGTGCGTTTAAAAACAACCGGGACCCGGGTTGTAGTCGCGTTGAGTTGTTGCGAGTCATCTTCTCCGACAGCCAAAACATGGTGTGCAGTAAAAACAAATTGGTGATCATGAATTACTTCTTTGTATAGCCCGTGGTTATCTATATTGCACGATCAGTCTGGGTCCGACCTTAAATTAAAGTCCGAAGACCATCCTTCATTCTGTAACCTTCCGCCCTTCCGTTACCACAACTTCAAAACACGACTCTCTATCACAGTACGTCCTGTCCCCAACCATTGTCAACAAACAGAAACCGGAGACATAATATATATCTTGTGCGCTCTGAAACGCCACTTTTACGGCATCTAGGTCACTACGGGACATACGGCCATCAGTATGTAACCTGACACGCGAATAAGCATTCTCAGGATCCTAAATCTGGATTTAGAAGTAGAGACAGGAATGTCTCATTATTCTTGTCAATTAGCATCCTTGCTGTATAGATATCGTCAGTTGAAATGATCAGGGAGAGCTTTTTGATGTTCCACCATTTTAGATGCTGTTGATAGTATCTGTGAAATTTGAAGGACGCTCTTCTGTGTACATCCTGAATTAGGTACCACCAAGCAGGATGCGGCTTTCGAAGTCAAAACAAGCTTTGGTTATTTCCTCTGTACCACATTTTTTTCTTAGTAAAAAATGCCAGAATATTGGAAAAGTGTCCGCGTGCCTTTAATAGATCGTGCGTGAATTGTTTTCACGACTTTTCCTGTTACGTGAGTCCAAGTATTAGTCTGCACAGAAAGCGACTAATCTCTAGCTAGATTGCAAAACATCCCATACATAATGAAAGGGCAGTACAGCTAAAGGCAACGAGTTAGACTATTAACTACCCATTTCTCAGCAGTGTGGATTCACGGGAAGTTTCCAAACGCTGTTTTGCCCTTTTAGGGCAAAGGTCCTGGTGGCACAGTTACTATGTATACGGGCGCAGCCACAGCGTTTTCCCAGATGCGGACGGCTGTCAACCGGCCAGCCGGGATGACGCCGCTTTCTTTCGCCAAGCCTTCAGCGGGACGATCCATTAACTGCTGAGAAGGATCACTCTGTATTTACAAAGACATTTCTCTTGGATTTAGATAAAATCAGAGACTAAAATTACCTCCGAGTTAACCCTGTCCGCTGCACGTGTAAATATTGACACACATTCGGTCAGAAGCTGCGCCCCGTGCCTTGTTTCATTACTCCTCGCCATCACTTCAGGAACCAAATGTCGCTTCTCATGCAACATCTGCTACATATTCAATAAATCGCTACAGTGATTTTTCCTCCCGCCACGCTGAATAGCGTCCACCCCCGGTGCCGCGGTGAATGGAGAATCACCCCAGAACCGTGACCTAGGGGGCCTTGATCAGACGATAGTGCAAACCTTCCCATCCCGTTGCTATAGAAACGCAGTTGGATTGAGTAGGTCTGACTGAATATAATTCTCGTGTCGTGCGAAGGGTTGGAATTATGCCCGCGGGGTTTTCAGTAGGGACGCCTATCCCTTAATCTAAAGTGCGAAGACTTGGGACCCAGGGGACTTCTTTTTACATAATCTTATTCTGCACGGCAAGTGTCACATGTCGTCAGGCATAGGTGGAGGCACACTTCCAATGCGATTTCCAGTCTGGCAACTAGCGAACATTAGATTGTTTCCTCTCTTACATCAGTTCCGAAATGACTGCTACAGTCATGTACATGGAATGATCTATATCATCAATATATGACGATACCAAGTGTCTGAAACGTTCACAGCCAGCGATATTCATTGATTGAACGTTCTCTGTCCCGCCGTTAGAAAATGCTCCATTCTTTACTACAGAGTTATTTAATGTCCATGGCTTCACGGTCACGGCTGTACGTGCATTGTGGGTCTCAGTGGAGGCATTAGAAATTTTACGATTCACAGAAAATTGCCACAATCTAAATACGTCGTCCTCCGTTTACGGCGTCGCGATTTTGGTTGGCAAAATTAGTAATTGCAGTGCAGTTGTGTTTGATATTGGCCGCCATATTTCCCAAACGCACGACGTCGCGTGTGACGAATGTTTCGGACATGTGGGCAAGTTTGTTTTACATCTGCAAATTTCCGTTAATTGGCGAAACGAAAGTTTGTTGGGAGTTTCACCATCTGTTCTTCGACAGCAGAAAATTGGCGTCTACATAAATCCTTTGATAGCCAATAATGAACGTCCAATAGGTATCTAGCAACAGGTGGACCGGCTTTGGAATCTGCCTAATAGGCACTTACGCAGCCTGCACTTGGCGATGCGAGCACGTCGTTAAAATGTATTAATGTGATTTATTTTCCGTTATTACGTGGTAACTCTAACGTTAAATATATTCATTGTGTAGCTAGCGTACAATTGCTAGCGTAAGCTACGCTGAGTATAGCTTCTAGATGTACTATTGGCATATTAGCATTTTTCTGTTATCGTACAATAGGACTAAGATAGCTCCGTATATGCATAATTTCACTTTGCCATACAAATTACAGATTTTAAGGGTGTAACGTTATAGTTTTATAAGGTATATCAGCCCTGATAAACTCAAAATTGCTGTTTTATGCTCCCAGACAGTAATTGTGAAGGACTGTTAACTATCGTTGACCGCGAGGCTGTATCTAAAATAGTCTGTCCTTTTGGGGCCTTTCCCAGACTACGGCACCCTCTGTTGCGTTCCCGGCGGTTTTCCCTGCACCGCCATCCGACAGTTAATTACGCCTGTATCGATCTATTTACGACCCGATGGACGCCGTGCCGGTACAAAAGCCTGAGTGAGAACGTATTAGCACCTGACATGACCCCGCCATCAGATACAGCGGGATCAGGACTTCCATTACAGCGCCGGAGGCGGGAAAACAGCCGGCCGTGTCCTTGAGCGTGTATCAGAGCTGATGGAAGTTGAAAGACAGCCGATAGTAGCATGTATTCATGCTTAATCACTTCTATTCGCCCTTTCTGTACGCGGAAACACCTGGGAACAAGCGATATTGACAGAATATAGCTCTATTAGCTCTTGTGCATTCATTCTCCAACAAGGCTTGGGTTGTATCAAATCTTTTCTATTGAATGAGGAATCTTGCGGCTAAAACTCGTGAAGAATGATCAAATCGTATTTCAAGTTTTCTGAATACACTGGACTATTTTCAGTGCTGACTGTTTACACCGGTTTGGATGCTTTCGTGCGGAATGATATTTCGTTGCTGGAGTGATTCGGTCACATCTGACGTGTCCCCGTACACCTTCATCCCGTCAGCATCCCTTAAGAACTGTGTTGATTTATTATGGTACAATCCAATGGCAGACATGCCCAGAAGTTTGGCGCCCTTCTTAAGTAGACCCAGATAGTACTTCAAGCTATTTGATAGCTCTTAAGAGCCGGATTCCGCCCACGTGTTAAAGCACACGCTGTTGAAGATCGTGATATGTCAAGGTGTTTCTCACTCTACCCTCCCCCTCCCCCAGCCTAGAAGCGCACAAAGATCCCGCGGTTCAGCCATTCTGGCACTTTGTTTTATCAAATCAGCCCCTCCTACCTTCCTTAATGCGTTGCTGTCAGGTACAATATCTACACTAACTCTTACATAGTATATATAGACGATAACAGTTGCTTAGAACACTCTCCCTGGCTCCTCTTTGACTTTGAAGTATGACTTCACAGACTAGTCCAACACTAGATGTCCGAGGGGTGGCCTTTTATCATGTGGGAAAACAGTAGCGTTACTTAAAAGTCTTCAAATGGTTTTCTCACAAATGGACACTCCCTCCTGGGACCAGGCGTAAAAGCATGCACCGCTGCGCATATATGGCGCGTTTTAACGACATCACTTGATCTCACCACGTTCGTCGCACGTCTTTCATAGCTTATATGTACGCCGTATTTGACACAGAATCTGCAAGCCGTACGTGCTACTCGCGTATACACAAAGGATGTAATGAAAATAGCAGACATTTGTAAGTGATTGTAAATGTGGTTAGTGTTGTAGGGCATCGTTTCTAAGGCTGTGTATATAGCAACATTGTTCTATTTTAGTTTAAATAACTTTAAAAAGAACGGACATGCTTTGAATGCGTTTTTGTCATGTGTGAGAAAGAAGCCAACGACTAAACACTGAGATAGCTGCCAAGACCTTTCCGGCCTTTGCTAGAAACACAGCGTTTTACCGTTGATTTCATTAATGCACTTTGTGACAAGTACATGTACATACATGAACGTACCAATCAAATGCAATCAAATCGTATTACACTAGCTGGGGTGGGGTCATTTCAACTTCGTTTTACAACCTTTGATTTGCATTTTATCGTACTTTCCTCTATCAAACTACCTTTGCTTCTATTTGCTGCCTTTTTCCAAGATGCTCCTCTCCTGGGTTTAAAAATGAAGGAAACGTTGGGTTGTAGATATCATGGCAAGAGTTATCACTATCTTATATAGGAATCACATAGGACGGGGAAATATCAAGATTTTACCGTCCCCAGAAGGCACGTTCCATTTTCCAGTGAGTAGGTGTGACCTTTCTGCCACCGGAAAAGTAGTCCCCGGCGGCGGCACCAGCCCCTGACGACAGCTGATAATAGCCTGGCCTGACCTGGCGGGCCGCGGCATTAGCCTACTTACGGCAGCGCACCCGGTCATTAAATGGGACGGGATGGAAAGTGGTGAATAATGTAGG